TTTCATTTCCTGTCTAGGATTTACTGTGCCATGTGGAATAAAAATGATGAAAATGAGCATCGTTGTCTTGTTACAGATCTTCAGCTTTTCCCTCCTCCCCATCCCTTCTTTATGGTGTTGGATGTTTACTTGTCATGCAAGGCTTTGTCATGTTGACGTGTGTTCCTTGGGTACCTACTTGGTTCAGCTTTTAATTGTTGAATTTTATGAAATGCCTCTTCTGCCTCTATGAAAATGGCCATATGGTTTTTGTGCTCCAGTTGGTTGATGCTATGTATCAAAGTTTATCAATTTGTGTATGTTGAACCATCCTTGCATCCCTAGATTGAGTCCTACTTAATCTTGAGGAATAATCTCTTCCATGTGCAGGTGATTTAGATTTTCTAGTACTTTTTTGAGGATTTCTACATCTGTGTTCATCATGGATGTTAGACCGTAGCATCCTTTGTGTGTGTGTGTGTGTGTGTGTGTGTGTGTGTGTGTGTCTGATTTTGGTAGCAGTGTTAATTGTTAGCTTCCTGGAGTGCATTTGAAAAAAAAAATTCTATTTCTAATTTGTGGGATAAATTAAAGAGAATTGGCTATTTGGTAGAATTCATCAGTAAAGTCGTGCGATTTGATAGGAAAATTTTTTGTTATAGCCTCTGACCTAATATTGTTACCGGTCTATTCAGGTATTCTATTGCTTTATGATTACATCTTGGTAATATTGCTTTGTATAGCAATCAGTAAAGACACTTGATATCATGTTAGTTTTGTAAAATTCAGGGGGGTTCATTTTTTTTGACCCACCACATGGTCAGCACTGTGAAACGTTCCTTAGACTGTTGAGAACGATGGGCATAAGGGGGTTTCAGAAGCTCACTGAGAAGTAGATCGGAAGGAACATCTGAAACCTTTTCTTACTCTGCAGCCGATGGGTAGAATGTTCAGCAGATGTCTCTCAGGTTCAGTTAATCTAAGGTACAATCGAACTCTGCTATTGGTTTTCAGTCTAGTTTTTCTGGTTTTTGTTTGTCTATATTGTTCTGTCTGTAAGATGTATTTGTTTGAAAGGCAGAGTTAGAGAAAGAGAGACAGAAAATCTTCCTCCTGTGGTTTATTTCCCAAGTGACTGCAACAACCAAGGCCAGAAGCCCGGGATTTTTCTGGTTCTCCTGCGTTGGTAGCTAGGCCCAACCAGGAACTTGGGCCACCTTCTGCTTTCCCAGGCGTGTCAGCAGGGCGCTTCTCCCACCCTGCCTCCCCAGAGAAGGCCCCCTGGGTGGCCTTTCTATTGAGAAAGCAAGGTGTTTAGATTCCTTGCTATTACTGTATTGAAGTTGGTTTCTCCTTGAGGTCAGTTAACCTTTGTTTGCTGTATTTGAGTGCTCTGATACTGGGTGCAAATATATTTATAATTGTTACTTCCTGAAATGATCCTTTAATCACTATACAGTGACCTTCCTGTCTGTTTTGACTCCTTTTGAGCTTTAGTCTATTTTATAACATGTGAATGTGGGTTACTCTTGCTTTCATGTGGGTTCTGTTGCTGTGACAAACCTGATTGTATCATGCCCCTTTGTTTTCAGCTTACGTGTGTCCTTGGAGGTGAAGTAAGTTTCTTACAAGCAGCATATGACCGGATCTTCTTATTCTATTAAATCATTAGATGTCTTTTAGTTGGAAAATTTGCTTCATTTACCTTTAAGCTAAGGTCTTACTATCTAGTGATTACTTTGTAAGATTTGCTGTGTAGATAAGCAGATTGCGAGTAGAGTGTTTGTAATGCTTCTAGTCCTTTATTTCACCACATTGCTTTGGCTAAGTACTATTCCCCTGTCGTACTGAATAGATTGAGTGAATTTTTATCCATTCTAGCCTTTCCCGTTCTCATACGAGTTCTATTTTGTTGTTTGTTTCTCAGCCTAGAGGTGTCTTACTGACCATTCCACCTGAAATGTATCACTCCACCTCTGTCTTTATTCTCTAGCTCAGCATCACATTGAATTTCTTTTATATCATTTATCAGAAAGTGTATTTGGTTGATTCTTTGTTGTCTGGCTCTTAAACTGATCACAAAGGTGTTCTGGCACCACCATTTCCCCCTGTAGGTGCAGTGCAGTGGCCGTTAGTAGACATGCGTTCTGTGGACTCCGGTCCAGAATATTAGGAAGTTTCTGCAGTCATGTTCCAGTTCTAATGGTCCCGTTTAAGAGGTTACATTTCAAAATTTCTCAGAGAAACCACTTGTCTCTTTTATCTTCAAAACTCTTTTAACTCATAGATATTTTATCAAAGCATTACAAATCTGTCTTCTAGTAGTTGCAAAAGTCTGTGGTGACAAATCGAAATGGTTTCCCTTTCTTGGGTGTTTAACGTGCACTAAAAAGTTAATCAGTATTCAGGAAGTGTGCAGTGGTTCAAATATAGAAACAAGGTAAACACATTCCATGGTTATCTAGTGAGCAGGTGTTGGGTCACTCCTTTTTGTTCTTTAAAAAAATCTGGGGAAATCATGATGATGAGATGAGCGCATCATGCAAACAATTTCCACATGTCTGCCCTTTAGGGTTTTTTTTTTTTTCATCTTTAATCTAAGCAAAGCTTCATTTCCTTCTTGTGTAATGTAAGCCTGATGAAGGTGAACTGTTTTTAGCTTGGAACATGATGATCTAGGATTTACCCAAAAGGTAAAATACTTCTCTAATTGCTCCATTGTAAGAGCTCCCTCTAAGCAGCTGGTGAAAGTCTTCATTTTGTTCATAGGCCTGAGGGAAAATTCATTTTTATTTTTTCCCCTGCTATGTCCTTGGCTTGTTCAGCCTGTTGAAATTACATGAACGAAGCAGGTTCAGTTGTTCAACTCTGTCCTCCCTCTCTCCTTCCGTTTTCTCTTTTTAGCTCTTCCTCGATTCCTTCCACTCCTTCACTCTCTCTTTCCTGCCTTTATTCTCTCTCCGTGTCCCAGTTGTTCTTGTTGCTAGTAGTGTAGTAAAGAGCACTTATATGTCCCTGGCATTTTCAGCTTAGCAGGCAAGTGAGTACAGGAGTAGACAAGAAGTTGACATGTACATATGACAATTCACAGTCACAAGTTCCTTAAGCAAAGTGTTCTGTGGTGTGTGTGTGTGTGTGTGCACATGTAAGCATGTGAATGAAAGAGATTTTAGGAACCTGAGCCACCCAGAATGGGAATGAACAGGGTCTCCAGAAGGCTTGCATGAGGTCCTTGAGCTGAGCTATCAGAACTTGGAAGCTCCAGAAAGCAGTCTCCCAGGAAGTGGAAATGGAGACTGGAATAGGGACTATGAAGGGAGCAAAGTTGGAATGGAGGGTGGTTGGGGAGTTATACAGAAACTTGATCTTGGCGGAGTGAGCTCAGGAACAGCACAGCACTGGGGTAGGGTGGAGGAGACAGTGAAATTGGAGAGGAAAATCGCGGGAATCCCGGGGACGTGGGGCCCGATTCCAGGAGCAAGCAGCCAGGGCTAGTGGCCCAGGCGTGATCCTGTGTCATTCTCTCGCTTGGATGCTTCACAAATGTTCCTCATAGATCAAAACACCCAAGTCCAGTTCCTCACTTGAGTTTCTCTTCCCAAAATAGAAAAAGATATGAAGCTAAAAAAAAAAAAAAAAAACTGGCCAGATTGCAAACAGGATGAGCCAGTGTGCAGTTACAAATAGAGATTTCCACAGTTCTCTGCTTCTGACGGACAGAGTACGTTGACACCCATTCGGTGGAGTTCACAGGATGGACTTGAGCAAGTCTTTCAGCCAGCTGCTTGGCTTACCCACCCTTTTCTGTTACTTTTAATAAAACCTGCCATTCCACAAGAACCAAATACAGACTTTTTTATGTGTTGTGGAGCCAAAATTGAGTTGCAGTACATTGAAATCTTCCTGAATGTGTTCTGTAACCACAACAAGATTTAAACAGATATCAGTGTCTGAAAAAAAAAAAAAACTGAAGCTGATGCAAAATACTTGGAAATTAAAATAGCACTTCTGAGATTTCATGAATCAAAGAAGAAATGACACAATTGCCCTTACTTAAAATAATAACACCAGTATGCGAATAGAGACCATATCATTTATCTTCCTACTTCCTTTATGTATTGGCATCCCTGTAGCATCTCAGATAAGGGGCTGCTGCTGACCCTATTCCACTGAGCAGTCTTAACCACCTGCTAGCTTGAATGGACCCACATTTCTCGTTTTCAGGTAACTGGAACCGCAGAAGGGGAGGTTGTAGAACAGAAATAGACACCTGCTAGCTGCATGAATCTCACATTAACGTTGGGTACTTTATTTTCTCCAGTCCTGGGAAATCGTGGTCCACTCCTCCCCACATTCTTATAATCTTCACGTAACCCTGTCCTTAGTCCAGTGTCAAGTCCTTTTGTCAGACTGCACTGTCATTCGGACTTGCGTGTGGTGGGCATCGGCGTGGGTGTGCCAGGGCTCCAAACAGGATAGGAGATGCTGTTTCTACCGACAGCTAATGAGAGGGTAATAAAGATTTTGACTGAGGCCCAGCAGGAGGGCCGTGTGAATAAGCGTTTCCTCCACACATGTTGGTTGATTTGTGTATCAGGCTTAGAAGAGGAAGGCGCGGGTGGTCAGTTGGACTTGGAGCAATGGGGCAGGAAGGGGCACAATGGAGCTTGGGTGTGAATGCTTGTCCATGTTTGTAGAAAGTGCAGTGCTGGTTCCATGGGCATTGCGGGAGCTCCATGATGCACCTGCGGCCAGCGACTCCTTACCGTGCCTGTGTGTGTCTCTTTGGTTGTGACCCTACCTGCTGTCGGGGTGACCCCTGACACTGCCTAGTGTGTGTTTTTAAGGAGTGGGAGGGGGTGGTGACTAGAGAAAGAACTCTACAGCCAGGGCGCCAGCATGTGGCATTGTGTTACACGATTTTTCTAAGCTAAGGGAGGAGGAAGTCAAGGAGTTGACACCATTTGGGGTAGAATTGCAACTTGCTGCCAGCCCTGAAACTTTCTCTTCTCTCCCTTTAGGTTTCTTGCTATTTAAAGATTTTTGTTTGAATGAAATTAATGAAGCTGTACCTCAGGTGAAATTTTATGAAGAGGTAAGAAGCGACTGCTGGATCAGTGCCTTTTTTTCTCAAAGGTGTATTTACATTGTGCTGTGGGAGAGATGAAGACTGCCAGATCTGGTGCGAAGACAGAGATGGGAGACGCTCATAAAGAGCGGTGAGCAGCGTGCCCCGTGTGCAGCTCTCCAGACAGGCCAATGGTCCCCGTGCAGAGTCGGGCGGGTCTGGCGGCTCACAGCCACGAAGACTTGGGAGGCCGATGGACACGAGGATGAAAAGTAGCTGCCTGCAGATTCTAAAGGCTCAGCCAACTTCAGGCGGAGGGGCTCCAAAAGAGTCATAGAAATGTTGGGCTATGGAAACGTAGGATAAAGACAAAGTCTTAAATTGTGTTTATTTATTTGGGCAGCAGAGAGAGAAAGTGAGAGTGAATGAGTGAGAGTTTTCTCATTTGCTGATTTATCCTCGCCTGCCACTCTCAAATGGTCTTAATGGCTTGAGGTTCCAAAATGGGGAGCTGGGAACTCAGTGCAGGTCTTCCCACATTTGGATGGCAGGGACAAGTGACTTGAGCCATCAGATGCTGTTTCCCAGGGTGCTCATTCACGGGTAGCTGGCACTGGGAACAGAGCCAGAGCCAGAACCCAGGCACAGGGATGTGTGGGATGTGGGCATATTAAGCAGCGTGTTAACTGCTCGAGAACAATCTCCATATCACAAAGAGAAAAGTCTTTAAGAGCAGTTGGGTTGGGCAAAGGGAAGGTACCTAATTTTTTAAAAATATATGTTTATTTTGAATTTTGAATTATGTGGTACAATTTCATATAGGCTGGGATTTCCACCCCCCAAACTCCCACCCCCTGACAGATTTCCCCCATTTTATACAACAGTGTAGTCCTTCATAAGGAATCAGAATTCTATCTGTCTCTTATTTAAGTAAGGTACCTAATTTTTAGTAAGGAACAACATTGTGACCAACTAAGACATCCTCATAGACAATGATTAAAACAAAATGATGACATGATGACATGACCATCTTTACTGAAAGAACAAAAGCAAATTTCTGTGCCAGCAAAGCATCCCGTCAAACCAAAGAATAAAGATTTATTCAGGGACCTGGCATGACTAAATCCTTACCTTGCATGTGCTGGGGTCTCATATGGGTGCCGGTTCGTGTCCCTCCTGCCTCACTTCCCGTCTAGCTCCCTGCTTGTGGCCTGGGAGGGTAGTGTAGGATGGCCCAAAGCCTTAGGACCCTGCACCTGTGCGGGCGACTTGAGGAGGCTCCTGGCTCAGGCTTTGGATCAACTCAGTTCCAGTCATTGTAGCCACTTGGGGAGTGAGCCAACACATGGAAGAGCTTTCTCTCTGTCTCTCCTTCTCTCTCTATGTCTACCTTTCCAATAAAAATAAATACATTTACAAAAAAAACATTGTGTTTAAACAAATGTCAGTTGAGGGCATTTGTCAGTAGTAGGGCTGCATTACAGGATACACCCTAAAGGGAAGGAATGGGGGAACGTCATGAAGGATGAACGTGCTCACAGAAACGTAGGTAAACGTCAAGCCCACCAAGAAGGAACATAGAGTGTGGAGTTTAGACCATATATGGGGCCAGAATGTACAACATCAGCACAGAAGGCAGGGCAGGGTGGGTAAAGTTAAATTACTCAAAATCCTGGAGGCATGGCAAGGCAGTAAAAGTGATGATTTGCATGGAATGGTCATCAGCGGAAGACACATTTTTAAATCTTTGATAACTTTTAAATAATAGAACACAGAAGTCTGGTAAGTAGAAATAGAGAAAAATAGAATAATTTATTACTTCAAATAGGCAAAAGAGGAACACCAAATAGATAGTTCAATTTGACACCGAGGAGTGTGACAGTAGCTACAAATCTATTTGTTTACATATAATGGGAATGGGCTAAAAATTCCAAGCACAAGATTTGAGTTTTTCAGACTAGATAAGGAACCAGAACTTTATTATATTCTGCTTCTCAGAGACTTACTTCCATCAACAGGACAAAAGAGGATTTATAATACCAATGCTACTCAAAGCCAAGCTGGTAGAGCTATACTAACAAATCAGACAAACCACATGGTCATGCAACTTTGAGATCAAACAAACAAACAAACAAAAGCTTTTCAAGGATACAAAGAGTCCAGTCCATCAGAAAGGCCTCACAGTCCTTCTCTGGATGACAAACATTCAGACGTTTGTATACACATTGTATATACATTCAAGAGTACCTATTTGAGAAGCAGACGGAGGGAGAAAGGCTCAGAGCTCTCCTCTGTCTAATATCTGTGGCTGGGCCAGGCTGCAGCTGGGAGTTTGGACCTCCAGCCAGGTCTCCATCTCTCCCCCGCCCCCCGTCCCCGACCCCACCCCGTGGCTTGAGCCATTACATTTCCTCCCAGGATGCACCAGAAGCTGTAATCAGGTGCAAAATCGGAACTTGAACCTGGCTACACTGTTGTGGGATGTAGGCATTCCAAAGAGTGCCTTAAATGGCTTGGCCAAACATTCATCACAGCTTTAAATCAAAAAGCAAAAAAGTCGGGCCCGGCGCGATGGCGCAGTGGTTAAGGTCCTCGCCTTGCACGCCCGGGATCCCATATGGGCGCCAGTTCTAATCCCGGCAGCCCCATTTCCCATCCAGCTCCCTGCCTGTGGCCTGGGAAAGCAGCTGAGGATGGCCCAAAAGCTTTGGGACCCTGCACCCGTGTGGGAGACCCGGAAGAAATTCCTGGATCCTGGCTTCGGATCGGCATAGCATTGGCCAGAAGATCTTCCTCTCTGTCTCTCCTCCTCTCTGTATATCCGACTTTCCAATAAATAAATAAATCTTTAAAAAAAAAAAAAAGCAAAAAAGTTACACTTGGGAGTCAGACCTGCAATCCTGTCAGGAGATCTTAGCCTTATAGCCTTCATGAATTTATGGAATAGATAGTTAAGAATATTACTAATGATATGCAAGATCTTAATAAAGTGATAAATAAGTTTTTCTGACTGATACAGATAGAATGTTGTGTTGATGAAAACAGAATTCAGTTTCTTCAAAGTCACGTGGAATATTTTTTCTCCAAAGTATATCAATAGTGGCCCCTAAAGAAAGTTCTTGCATATTTCAAGATTAAAATTGCTGTTTTTAGATCACAACAGAATTGAACTCAGATATACTCATAGGTTAACTAAGAAATCCTTAGCTGCCTGCAAATGAGTACACTGCTACATAGTTCAGGTGAAAGGAGAAGTTAGGAAGTAATTTAAGAAGAGTTGAATGTGCAAGAAATGACATGTACTATTGCATCGTTATCCTGGTAAGTTTTTACCCTGAGGCATTTTAAATGATCCAAAGAGAGCATAAGATAGTTAAGACACACCCAGCTACCATGCATCTTTGGAATTTGGATTGGGACTCCTTTTCTTTCTGGTTTACATGTGCAAGCTTCATCTTTTAGAAATGGTGTTGTGACGCATATTCAAGTAGGATGGTACACATTGCATCATGTAAAGAAAATGAAGCCAAATCTCGAGAGGCTTTCCTGCAGTACAAAGGCACCTTAGGCCTGCGATCTGAATCATAGGCAGATATTTATCTGAATCAGTGTCACAGCTTGATCTGTCAAAAACCAGACATCTCTCATGTTTCCAATTCAAGTCACCTTGTGAAAGGCAGAAACCCTTTGCCCCATAAATAGGCACTAATTACCAAGGGGAAAAAAAAAAGAAAAATTAAAGATTAGAGGTGAAGTTTGCATCTGGAATTTTTTCAAACTCCTTTAACCAATTTTTGTTGTTGTTGTTACACATCAAGTGCTGTGCCAGCTAAAGTGTTTGGTGTCTTTGAGATTATGTTCTGGTGGAGAGAAACAAGTCACAAAAAAATAATAAATAGGGACTCTGTTCTGGGAATAAGAACTGCTTCGCAGGGACTCAAAAACAGCATCAAGACTCAACGTGACGCATGGTGACTTGGTGATCACTTCAGGTTAGATGACACACCCTGACAGACCGTGAGCCATCAAAGAGAGACTTGGGTGACCAGGAGGCTCGGTCTCTGGAAAATGAGAAGAGATGAGAAGGAGGGCAATTTAGGTCATGGCTGAGATGGAGCCCCTAACGTGGTGTGGGAGGAACTGGCAGCAGGAGGAACTGAGAGAAGACTGGTGAGGTATGGTTGTGGTAGGCCAAGTGGCGGGCGGGGGACAGGTGGCACGAGATAAAATTAGGTCCAGGGGGAGACAGGCTTTGGGGGAGCTAGGTTCATAAACCAAGGTTCTATTCTGGAGCTCATGAAAACCACGGCAGTTGTGACATGCAATGCTCCCGTAAATCTCAGATCGGGGTGTTTGTTGCGATAGATCTTCTATGTTTCCATTGATTTTGTGTCTAATTCTGCTGTTTGCCAAGAGAAATGTCTAAAATATTCCCATTTATTCCATCAGTATTTTTTCCCATGCATTTGCAGCTCTGTCACTAAGTATATGTACGTGTGTGATTGTTTCGTCTTTCCATATAAAAGTGTCCTTTATCTCTGGTAAAATCTTTTGTGTTGACGTTGACTTCACTGGAAAAAAAAATCCATATATTCATTCGTACTTCAGTCCTCTTATGCTCTCTATCTTCATGATCCATTCTTTCACACTGCTCTGCTTTCAACCTGTGTCTTTATATGCAAATTGCAGGTTTCTTTAGACAGATGTAATTGTGACTTGGTTATTTCTTCCTCATTCTGACGATTTTTGCTTTTTCATGAAATGATTACACATATTTATGCTTTGATGGGTTTTTGTAGCTTTCACCAAATTTGGACAAATTAGAACCACATATGTGTTCCTCAGCCTTTCTTTCATTCTGGGGCTCTGATCTCATGAATACACTTGATCTTTATAAGGAATATTCAAAAAAGCTCATTGAAAATGCATTGTGAAAAAAATGACACACAGGTTTCAAAAATGTTTGCATCAAAACAAACTTACATTTTTGTCCCATTTACCATGAACTTTTTGAAAATTTTTTTTAAATGACTTCTAAATTTGTCTTAAAGACATAGCAGGAGACAGAGAGACCTTCCTCTCATCTACTGGTTCATGCTCTGAATGGCTGCACCAGCAGCGGGGTCCTGGCCAGGCTGAAATCAGGAGCAAGGAACCAGGTCTCCCACAGGGGAGACAAGGGGCCCAGTCACTCGGGCCATCTTCCTCTGTCTTGCTTGGTGCGTTAGTAGCAAGGCGCTGGATTGGAAATGTGGAAATCGGTGCTCAAACTGGCGCTCTGCTCTGGGCTGCCACTGTCTCAAGCAGAAGCTGGGCATACCACAGTTCCAGCCCCAATGAAGCATTTGTTCTTTTATCCCTCTCATGTTCAGTTCAGCATTCTCTCCTTTTTCTTTTTCCTTCTCTTCTTCGTACTGAATAATTTCTACAGGTCTGTCCACAAGTTCGTTGACTCTCTTTTTGTTATTTGCTGGTGCGTTTCTCCATTGATTGCTTAATTTCAGATGCTGTATTATTTTTTAATGTCTAAAGTTTTCTTTTGGTTGTTTTCATAGTTATTTTTCTGCGGCTCCTTTCTGTGTATTTTCATGACATGAACATCTTCTGTTGTACACGGTTATGATAGGTGTTTTAGAATCCTTGGCTAATAATGCCAACATCTGGGTCTTCTTGGTTTTCGCTTCCAGGCTTTTTTCTTGCATCTGGGGTCACATTTTTCTGTTTCTTCATATTTGGAGATTTTTTCTTTTGTTTTAAAGATTAATTTATTTTTTTTTAAAAAGGATTTATTATTTGCAAGGCAGAGTTGCAGAAAGAAAAAAAGACCTTCCATCTGTTGGCTTGCTCCCCAAATGATCACATCAGCCAGAGTTGGGCTGGTCCGAAACTAGGAGCCAGGAGTTTTTTCTGAGTCTCTCATGTGGATGCAGGAGCCCTCCTCTGTTTTTTTTCAGGCTGTTAGCAGGGGAGCTGGATGAGAAGCAGACCAGCCGGGATATGAATCAACTCCCATATGAGATGCCAGCAATGCAGGTGGAGGATTAGCCTGCTCTGTCCCTGCGCTGGTCCCCGTTGTTCTGTCCCTTTACCCCTCGTTGGGCTACCTATGGTCTTTCATTCTTCTGTGTCGTCATGGGGCACTCTGAAAATTTCAACAGAAACTTGTACATGAAACTTGGAAACTCCCCTTCTGTCACTCTTTGGTTTCAGAAATTTCTTCTCTCACAATATATGTTTGCCCCTTCCCCATTGTCTGTGTACTTTGTATGACTGTCTTAACACCCTTACTTGGTTGTGTGTAAATATCCAGTACTTACAGGATTGCCCCACTAGGAGCTTTTTGGCTTTTCCCAGAAACAGAGCCTGGATTTCTCCTTGGGGTTTGAAGCACACAGGATTTTCTGATGAGTCAGATATGGGGCTAAGGAGGAGAGTGCAGATGAGTGGAAGCAATGAAGGTTATGCTTTTTTTTTTTTTTTTTTGGCTTAGGCAACTGGGAAGATGGTTTGAACTTATTTTCCTGATAAAGGAGAAAGACTGGGGGAGGAGCATGTTTGGTGGCAGTGCCAAGGGTGTGAGAATCCAGGGTTTTATTTAGACAAGTCACATTTGAGGTGCTTTCTAGATACTCAGCCAGAAATGTCAGCCACGTGGCTGGGTATTTCGAATCTGTGGAGTGCAAGAGGAGAAGCGAATCTCCGGGATCCAGCTTGAGTCATCAGAATATAGCTGGTATTTGAAGTCGTGGGACTGAAGGGCTTTACCTAGGGAGAAAGTGGCTGGTGAAGAAGGGATGTCCCAGTACCCTGCTGAGTGACACATAAGGACTTAGAAGTCAAGCAAGGGGAGCAAGAACTCCCATGGGAGCCTGTATGACCAGCTCCTCGTCAGTGGTGCAATGTTGTATGTAGCAAGCTAATCCTCTATCTTTGGTGATAGCATCCCATTTGGGTATCCACTCCAGACAGACCAGGAGTGGACTACTGGGCTGAGTGCTGTTGGAGAGACTATGGTATGAGGCCTCGAGCTGGCTGGGGAAGGCAGGGACTCTCCAGAGCCCCTCACTGGGATGTTGGTGGGATAGGCAGGTCGTGAGAAGGGGGAACCTGTGATGGCTGTGGCCCTACAGTGCTTGCTGGGAAGGTTTGGCCACGTGAGGCTGTGTGTTCAGCTGTAGACTGTGCATCCTCCAAGTTAATCAGTGGACAATCAGTTACCAGTAATGACGTGTGTGGCCTCAAGTAGGGTAGACTTGCCACTGGGCATGTAGGCCATAGCCCACTGAATAGCAAGACGGCCAACCCCTGAGATGGCATCCACTGAGTGTACTTTAGTTCAAGTCCCTGTTGATAGTGGAAGACTCATTCTAGTACTTTAGATTCTCACTTTGCCTGTCCACTGTAATGCTTTCCCATTGATCGAGTTGGAGATAAGGCCTCAAGCCTCCACGTAAGGCCAGTTTCATGATTCAGAGTGACATTTGCCCAAGAAACGACAGATGTTATGTGTCATTGGAATATGAGTTCATGGAAACTTCGCAGCACAAGCGTTGGTCTAACCACATGCCCATTCCCTCCGTAAAGCCCTGGGCACGTAGCCTTATATTTTATGACACCAAGTTCAGGGTCATGACCCCACAAAAGTGTAGTCTGCCTTGTGGCCATTCCTGTACATTCCTGTATCAAAACAGTGAGGTGTGGTTTTAGTTCATGTCCATCTTACCCCAGCACCCGGGCATTAACCTTTGAATCTGCCTATAACAAGCATAGTGAAACACAGTCCCACATTCTGTCTCTCCTGACTTGACTTGGGCTGTTGGTGTCTAGCTTCTGCTTATACCACGTGTGCATGTGGTGCGGCACTCCATTCTCTATACCTCTCCTCTTTAGCTGGTCCAGGGTGGACATGCCCAGGTCCTTTGGTTATGCTGGCAGCCCCGGATTGAGGCTGCTTTGAGATGGTCTTTATTTCTCTGAAGGCCTGTCAGCTCATCCCAGTCTGCTTTTCTGTTATGTTTTATCGTCTCTTATTTAATCATTCTAAGCCCTGGTCCTAGGAGAAGTGTGAATGTCAGCCATCTCAGTGTAGGGCAGAGAGAGAGGCTCTTCCCGGGTTGCTCGGATGGTCTCAGTCCATTTCTCAACGTTTTGAACCAGCTGGCTCTTCCGTGGGCCCTCCGTATTCCCCATTCCCATCCTCCTCTTCCTCCCTGCGCCCTTGTCTTCATCAGGAGTTCCTGCAAGTCACACTGGGTTTGGTCTCAAAACTCTTAGACTCTAGAGTCACAAAGGGAAGTGTTTTTTTGGAGGAGGGGTGAGTCCCACTTTTGTGATAAGAGGAAGAAGAGTCTCCCCAGGGATTGAGGAAGTCTCTGTGCAGATCAGGTAGCTGACTTGCCACTCCATGAGATGGTTGGAACTAGTTTAGTAGTTGTTGGAAGTTATGGAGAGGGTTTTTTTTTTTTTCTCTCTTTTCAATTTGGACAATTCAGTTAGGCATCCTTAAGTCCAAAGTGCCTCCAAATCTGAAGCTTTCTGGGCGGAATGCTTAGCCTGTACTAAGTAGCTAAGTGCTGATTTTTTCCCCCTACCAAGTATGCTGTTTGTTACAGTCCATTGTTCTATGGAGAATCTTCACTGTTTTCTCCCCGCCAGCTCCCCTTATCTTTTTGGATGACTAATATTTCTATAAATAAATGGCCACAGTTGTGTCATCCAGAACCCTCTGTTATCCTGTTAGAGCATGTGAGACCCTTTGTATGTAACATATGGCAGAGATTTCTGGGGCACTTGGTATAATGACCTTAGCTGAACTCTGGTCCCATGACCTTCCCTAATATTGTGGGGAATTTGACACAAAATAACCACAGCAACCTCGTTTCTGAAGAATTTTTATGCAGACAATTTCAGTGTGGCAAAGCAAGATTTATTTAGGAGACAGTGAGAGAGGTCTCCTGCCGTGGTGACAGGAGAAGAAAGACCCAAGAAAATGGTGGTAGTGGTGTCTCTTAGACACCATCTTAGAGAGGGGGAGAGATGAGTCAATGGGGGGAGAAGGGAACTTACTCACTGTGAGCTGTCTAGTCCCTGGTCGGAAGGGAGTGACTGGCTGTTCCCGCCTCCCATTCTCATGATCAGCTGAAATCTCAGGTCCCATTTCTTCGCTTCCTCAGGAAAAAAAATTAGAGATGCAAAGTGATACTTTGTTCAGCAAAATTTTCTGACCCTTTTTTTAGATTTCAGGTGCAGCTGGGACTCAGGGAGGTAGAATGCACATCCCATTGGGGTTTCTCCTAGCAGCCCAGCGGCTATTATGGTAAAACCAGAAGCCTGGAGGAACTCCTGTTTCCAAAGGAGGCAAAAAGAGGGGGGAAACAAGATTTTATATTTTCAAAAAATAGCCCATCTGACTTCTCACACTAACTATGGCAGAATATGCTGTTAGAAGTAATCTTTCTGTTAATATTCCTGTAATAGAGGTGAGCTTTGAACCTGAGAAGCTAGGGTTTTTAAAGTAAGTGTAGATTAAACTCCTGAAATATTTGCTTTTGTTGATTTTTTTTTTAAGAGAAACCTCTTAATAGGAGCCCTCATGTGTTTTTTCGTTTTTTTCTCCTGTTGGGTTTGGAATGCTATTGTTGGGTGAAAGCAAGCCGCATCACCACTGAGTCACAGCCACATTTAAATTATCTGTTCTTTGTAAAGGAAAACTGGCCAGGACATGGCTCCTGTATCGTAAGATAATTGTCACCACTGGCAGTATTTGTTTGCTAATACTCCATCTTGCTAATACTCCAGGGAAGAGCCCGTATTTATGTTTCTGGTTGAGGGTGGCTTCCTGCAGTTTGTTCGTGACGGAGTTGTAGGAAGGAGTGACTTTCCATCAACTCAGAGGTTCAGCAATTTGCTCTATCTCCTCTGGCAATGCTTTCTGCCTCTGCCAGTCATGTCTTTTCATCTCATGGGTTCTTGGGAAGAGTGTAGCCTAACACTGCTAACTTTTACACACCTAGATCAAAGAATACGAAAAGCTGGACAATGAAGAAGATCGCCTTTGTCGAAGTCGCCAGATTTACGACGCCTATATCATGAAAGAGCTCCTCTCCTGTTCCCATGTGAGTGTTGTTTCTTCTGATTTTGGTGAATTCTGATTGGCAGGGGATGGCTCTTGGTGTTGCCAGGATAGAGGGAAGATGGCATAAATTTTACCAAGTGCGTATCCAGGCTGGGACCCACTTCTTGTGTTCCGCTGTGCCCTTGTTCCCTGGTTAGACTAACAAAACCTCCATTGTGTCCAGAATGCATTTCCCCAAGCTGACACCTGTCACTGCAACAAATCAGTCATGTGAGGGAGCCAATTTGGATAATTTGAAAACGGCTATGAGTCTCAATGCTTGAATTTTTTTTTTTTAAGGAAATCAAGCTTTCTTTTAAATTTAGCTATGCATTAACACTGTCGCTGGTCAAAGATGGGTCAATCTAAACTTTAAATGGTTTATTGGCCTCCAGAGGAGGCTCTATTTATTACGTTCATTTTGGTCACTATCAGTTACGTAAAGATGGACATAATTTTTCTTCTTCTTGTAAAGAAGATGAACCATCTAATATAAGCATTAGGATAAATTGGGTTCCTAGGAAATTATTCCACTAGAAGTAAATGGAATAATTAGTCATGAACATTTGCCATGTGACCTCTCAAAGACTGTTTGCTGAAGGAGTGGACCAGCAAAGTCCCCAGACCTGCCAGTGCAAGACACTAACCACTAGCTACATGTGGCTGACTGTAGTTAGGCTTAAATTAATTAAAATCAAATGGTACTAGGCATTTGTGCCACTTAAAGACAATTCTGTTTTTCCTGTGTTTATTTGAGAGGAAAGGAACAGAGAGAGACAAGAGAGCTCTTTTCCACTGACTGTCCAAATGTGCGCCTGGCAGGGATGCCAAAGCCAGGAAGCGGGAACCATCTCTGTGTCTCCCAGTTGGTGGGCAAGAACCCACTTTCTGGAGACTACACCGTTGCCTCCCAGGGTGCACAGGTTCGGAGCCAAGGCTGGGGATGGAAGCCTGTTATTCTACCATGGGACACAGGTGTCTGTCCCCAGGCGCTGCATCTCCTGGTCGGGGTAGGAGAGGGGGACTGGAGATGCCTCTGTGGCACAGTCTAGACATGCAGCATCTCTTGTCTTGGCAGCAAGTCTGACTGGACAGCACTGGCACCCAGTGACTTGTTTCACCGCTTTTGTCTCTATCGTGTCGTTTGTGAAGCTGGCTGACATTTGAGAAAACTGTAGCTGAAGATAGCATTTCTTGTAGCATGTCTTGCTTTCTCTCCCCGCCCCCGCCCCCGCCCCCTTGGTCTGGGCCCATCTTGCCTTGTGGTAGATGCAACTTCCGAGGCAGAATGAATTGCTGATGCCCCATGCCTCTCTGCCTCACTGCCCTACCAGCAGTGACTGACTCCTGGGGGAATGCCAGTTGTTCTGTGGAAAGATGCCCTGAACCTGGTTTTCACATAACTCAGCGATCTGCAGAGTTGTGAGCTGAGCAGTGTGGTTCTGAAGCTCTTCTTGTGTGTCAAAGGAGACAGGATTTCAGATGGGGTGTGGGAAACTTGCAGGTGGCTGTTCTTGGCGGTAGAAGTGCTTTTGTTTCAGCCACGGTGCCCATTTGCTCTGACCATGGCCAGACTCTTTCACACGGAGCCCTTTGCTACTGCCCTTTTGCCTTCTTAATTCTGTCCTCCAAATCCTATATGCACTTGGGCAAATTTATTTTCTCCCACACTTACATTTTCAGAACTGTTAACGGCTAATGGAAAGACATATGCATTTAATCAGGTGATGATAAGATTCTTCACATTTTGTCATCATCACACTCATCTGACCTCTTGTGTGATTAGACATGTCAGTCATGGCTGCTCTGCCCCTGCTCCCCCACTGCCATCCTTCTGGGCCTAGGTCTAAGAATGCTGGGCACCCAGGGGAGCAAGTGTTTGTTTGGATTGCTTATTTATATTCAACAGAACTGTGTCTTTCAAGAACGCTTGCCAGGATAACTACCAGCGGCTACCGGGTTAGTCCCTGTTTTGTAAAAACGATCTGGTGTTGTGATACCACATGGCATCTTATGATTATTCAAGTAACTGTCCGTGTTGATTTTTTGAAAGCCGTTCTCCAAGCAAGCCGTGGAGCATGTACAAAGTCATCTGTCGAAGAAACAAGTGACATCCACTCTGTTTCAGGTAAGGCAGTATGACTTCTGAGCCAAAAGGAATCTAGCTAGTTTGCCTAACAGCTAGATAGGGTGACATCTTTTGCTGGGGCAGGTGTGTCCTCCAGAAGAGCGTGCAAGTCTGGGTTCTCATGTGGAACTTCCTCTGGGACAGTGGAGGTTTCATATTGCTAGTCTCCTCATTGAAATTTTTTTTTTTCCTGCCAATGGACTTTTTCTCCCCGCCGCCCAAGATTTATTTATTTTTAGTTGGAGGGAGAGAAAAAGATTGTTTATCTGCTGGTTCACTCCCCAAATGGCCATAGGAGCCAGAACTGGGCTGTGCCAGGCTGAAGCTGGGAACCAGAACTCCGCTGGCCTGTTTCTTAACAGAGCTGGCAGCGGTTTGCTGGGACGGTCAAGTGCGCCAACAATTCCACCTGCTTTATTTTGCTGTGAATTGTAAGAGGAAAGAATGTCCCCGAGCAATGAACTGATCCTTAAAATAATGAGAAAAATGATCTTCTCCTTGAATGATGTCATCGTTTAGCATGAAATGAGTCAATTTTTGATTTGGTGGCTTAGAATAGTATTTATAACAAGAGGATCTGATTGTGCTTGGTGAATGTGCTGATCAGGCTCCGGGAGCCTCTGAGTGGTAGTGAGTTGGGGTATTCCCCTCCTGCCCAAGCAGGATGATATCTCCTACCTATAGCCTGGAGCCTGTCTGTGTGGGCCGCATGGGCAGAAGCTTAGGCTCTCATTTTCATTGACCACTTGACCTGGGTTTAATATCTTTAAAAGTTGATTTATGGATTTATATAAGCTAGCAAGAGAACATGAGCTTTTCTTTCCTCTGGTTCCTTCCCAGATGCCTGTGAAGTCCAGGGCAAGGACAAGACCCAAAGCCAGGAACTCGATCCAGAATTCTATCCCGCTCATGTGGGTGGCAGGAACCCCATTACTGAGACCGTGCCCTGTAGCCTCTCAGGGTGTATGTAGGCAGGGAAGCCCGTTAGCTGGAGCCAGAGATGGTGCTCAGAGACACCTCTAGGCCTCTTAACTCTCCCGGGCCAAATGCCTGCCCCCGATGGAGGGGACCATGGACAGCTTCCTGTAGCTTCCTACCCAGTTTTCTCATCTGCGACTTGGGGATGACAGTGGGCTCTCCTTCCTGGGGTTCTAGAACATTCAGTGAGAAAGACATACTCAGGCAGCTTTGCCCCAAGCCTGCCTGCCACATGTCCCCTGCGTGTTGACCAGTAGCGTATTTTATATACCAATCATCAAGTGCAGTGTGAAGATCGGCGTTTTGTTGTTTCCATGGTAGATTAGTGTCAGATTTTCAGTGGTTCACTGACTTTGCCATGGCCCATGGTTTCACCATTCTGATTCAGCTTTTCCTGTGGCATAAATAGGGGTTAGCATAGCTTTTTAAAAAACAAACAAAGAAGCAAGCAAACAAAAAATGTGCCTGGCACAATAGCCTAATGGTTAAATCCTCACCTTGGGTTTGCTGAGATCCCATATGGGTGTCAGTTGGTGTCCTGGCTGTTCTACTTCCCATCCAGATTCCTGCTTATGGTCTAGGAAAGCAGTAAAGGATGGCTCAAAGCTTGAGACCCTGCACCTGCGTGGGAGATTTGGAGGAAGCTCCTGGCTCCTGGCTTTGCATCATCTCAACCCCGGCTGTTGTGGCCACTTGGGGAGTGAACCAGGGGATAGGATATCTTTCTCTTCTGTAACTCCTTCTCTCTGTATATCTGTCTTTCCGATAGAAAATAATGAATGTTTAATAAAAAAAAAAAAACCAAGACAAAAAGCATTTTATTGATTTGTTCATTAAAACACCATTACAAACATTACGCTGGTGAAGTTGGCATAGGACAGATATGATGAAGGTGATGGATTAATTTTTAAAGTTAATTACAATAAACCCGCAGAGCTTAGTCGTTAATGTTAGGACTGAAAGTAACATGTTTTCTTATCCTGTTTATAGAGCTGCATTAGCCGATGAAGTCAGTTGAAGTCTGTGGTGAAACACAAACATGCAAAATTGGTTTTAGATATAAGTACTTGGGGGGAGGTATTTGGTCTAGCTGTGTTTTAGAAACTTTTCTTTTTTTTTTCTTTTTATTTGAAAGGCAGATTTACAAAGAAGAGGGTGGGGAGAGAGACATTTGAGGAATGCTGATTCAATCCTCAAATGGCCACACAAACTGTAGCTGATCTGATCTGAAGTCAGGAGCTGGAAGCTTCTTCCAGGTCTCCCCCATGGGGCTTAATCCTCTGCTGCTTTCCCAGGCCATAAGCAGAAAGCTGGATTGGAAGTGGAGCAGCCACTTTATATAGGCACATGAATTAGTGCCCATATAAAATGCCAGAGCTACTAGGCAGAGGATTAGCCCGGTGGACTCCCTGTGCCAGCCCCTTGGCCTAGCAGTTAAAACCCTGGTTTGGACGCCAGTGTTTCCTGTTAGAGTGTCCAAGTCTGAATCCTGGCTCTGCTTCCAATTCCAGCTCCTCTGTGTAGGCTGGGAGATGGCAGGTGGTAGCTCAAATGACCGGTTCCTTGCCAGTCACACGGGAGATCTGGACTGGTTTCCCAGCCCCAGTCCCAGCTTCTGCAGGCATTGGAGGAATAAGCCAGTGTGTGCGTGCACACACCCACATGTCTGTTTCTTTGTCTCTGAAATAAAACCAAAAATGTTGAAAAGCATATATATATATACTTATATACTTGGAGGCATGTTTGGATGCAGGTGTCTGGGGTAGGGGGCGAGGGGCTAGGCTTGAGTGTGGCCCGGCCCTGTGTGTAGCTGTTAGCATTGTTAGCTATTTTTCAGGGTGACCTTGCAGATGAGCATGGCTGTCCTTGCTTGCAGCTGACAGGAACTAAGAATCTCAGAAGGGAAGTCTTGCTCGTGATCCCAATGTTGAACTCTTCTGTTTTGTTGTTATTGCTTCACTGGGTCTTCCGGGTCTTTCAAGTTGAAAAAATAGTGATTTGGTGTATTGTTTGTGATGTTTTTTAAAGATTTATTTATTTTTATTACAAAGTCAGATATACACAGAGGAGGAGAGACAGAGAGGAAGATCTTCCGTCCAATGATTCACTCCCAAGTGAGCGCAACGGCCGGTGCTGTGCCGATCCGGAGCCAGGAGCCAAGACCCTCCTCTAGGTCTCCCACACAGGTACAGGATCCCAAAGCACTGAGCCATCCTCAACTGCTTTCCCAGGCTACAAGCAGGGAGCTGGATGGGAAGTGGAGCTGCTGGGATTAGAACCGGTGCCCATATGGGATCCCGGCAGGTTCAAGGTGAGGACTTTAGCCGCTAGGCCACGTCGCTGGACCCTTGTTTGTGATCTTAAAAATGTTGAAGGATTTTGGCTTTTTATTGTATCCATGGAAGATATGGCATAGGATGCTTGGTAGAAGATGAAAAAAAAAGGCATTTATTAGCATAATAGATATTTTTCTTTCTAGATTTGCTTATTTGAAAATCAAGAATTACAAATGTGTGTGTATATATGTGTATATATGTGTACACACACACAGATAGATAGATAGATAGATAGATAGATAGATAGATAGATGTAAAGACAGAGAAATCTTCCATGTGCTGGTTTACTCCCCAGATGGCTACATGGCCTAGGCTAGGTCAGGCCAAAGTGATGAGCCAGGAGCTTCATCTGGGTCTCCCTGGTTGGTGGCAGGGGCCTTCTGCTGTTTTCCTAGGTGCGTTGGCAGGGAGCTGGATCAAAAGTAGAATAGCTGGGACCTAAACTACTCACATGAGATACTGGGCACCATAGGCCGTAGCTTTACCTATGATGTCACACTGCCAACCCCAACGTAGTATTTTTTTCTAAATAGACATCTGTAGTACAGAAATTTCATCTTTTGGTTGAGCACTTGGACCCTGTTTTCACTTGAAGTCTTTGGGACCGCTTGAGGCTTGTGGAGGACTCAACCGAAATGGACATTGCCTGTCATGATGGAAGCATATGGGTTCACAGGTGCAAGGGCTTCAGAGAGAGCGGGCACAGCTGGCCATCCCCCTCTCAGCAGAAAAGGAACAGGTGCGTGTGGATTTAGCAGTCAGTCCCAGTGTCCCCTTGGGGACACAATGGTCCTGCAAGGTGTCACAGGTTGGCCTAGTTCCCCCTACCCCCGCCATGTCCCATTCTCCATCTCCAGCCTGACTTCCTTTCTGATACAGGAAGCGGGGTTCCCCTAAGAGTTGTGGTCGTCCCCCGCGGCCCTGCGTCTGGCCGCTGTGGCCTGCGCAGTCTCCGCTCCCATGATGGGTTTGGAACGTTCTGTGGTCAGCTCGTTCCTTTCTGTGAACTCTCACGGTGATCTGTGGTGGCACAGGAAATGCTGAATTTGCAACACTCAATGTGTTTAGGGTATCAAGACATTTTCCAGAATGATGTAATTGACTTGGCTGAACTATAGCAGCATTTTAAACAAGTGCACTTCAAAAAAAAAGTTCGTGGAGAAATAGGAATTAAAAGGTTAAGACCCTTTCAGTGCAAGAACATTATAAAATTGAGACCTCATTCACATTTTCCATGAACTTTTTGAAGGCAACCCCCGCCCCCCCCCCCATTTCTGTAATTCTTAGTTTAAAGTTCATCATCTAGAAAAGGGAAGGTTTATGTTACTCAATGATGTATAAAGCAGCATGACATTGAGATAGATTACAGCTCTTTCTACCAAGCTTTGCTTTAATACCAAGCTAGCCATGAACTTGGTCAGCAACCTTGGGAACACATCTGGCCACGGGATGAAGAGGTGGATGAACTCTCCCTCATGATTACCTTTAACTCTGTGCTTTTAAGAGGTTGGAACCCAAACAATAAAATAGGTAATAAAAACAAGAAGATCCATGCATATGTATTAGCTTTGAGTTTTTCAAGAAACTGTGTGGTAATGCAGGCTGTAAATGCTCTTGATAGTCAACAAGACATGCTATAAAATTTACAGAATTCAGAATTATGAAAAATGACAGGCAGAACCCAGTATTCAACAAACATCTAGAAATTCAAGGTGGTGGGCTGGCGTTGTGCACAGATATAAGCCACCACCTGTGACAGCAGCATCCCGTAGTAAAGTGTGGGCTGCTCTGCTTCCAGTCCAGCTTCCTGCTAGTACTCTTGGGAAAGCAGAAAGATGGCCCAAGTCTATGAACGAAACTCAATTGGTGTTCCCGACTCCTGGCTTCAGCCTGACCCAGCCAGCTCTAGCCCCTGCAGCCATTTTGAGAATGTACTAGGAGGTGGAAGATCCTTTTGTCTCTCTCCCTCTTTCTCTGTGTCACTCTGCCTTTTGAATAAGTAAAATAATTTTTAAAAAAGAATGTAAAGATCCACTGGGCAGAAGAGATGCTGTGGCCCACAGGGTTGACCTGTCTTCGACTCTGAAATCCAACAGTCCCGGGTAGTTGTCAAATGACACATCCTCTAGCAGGTCCTGGGCAGGAGCCAGAGGAGCGAGTGCTAGGGCGCCAAGCTGAGGGAGTGTGCAGTTGGGAACTCCGTGGCCTGAGTTTTTCACTTTACTATGTTCCTGTTTACGTATGTGGGGTTTCTTTTCCATCCCTGCCAGCCATATATAGAAGAAATCTGTGAAAGTCTTCGAGGCAACATTTTTCAGAAGTTTATGGAAAGGTATGGAACGTGATCCATCTATATGTCTACTTCTGTGAAATCTTGTATTATGTACCTCGGTTTTACCCAAACAGGAGCTGTCATTAACATGGGCATTCATTTCTTCATTCAGCAAGTAATTATGGGTCATGTACCATGTGCCAGACTTTGGGCCAGTCTTTGGGCCACACCATCTGCTCCAGGATCCACCTTGTAACTTCAGGGACTGTACTTGTATCAACTTTCAGTTCTTTGAAGGGGCTAACATTTAAATAGGCTGGGGAAACCTCAATTTTAAAAGTAACTTCCCAGAGACCTTTGCTACTGCAAACATGCCTAATTTATCTGATCTTTTTGTTTGGTTTTTGAAAATCCTGTCTTCTAAAGCTGAGACAGGGCTGAACTTGATTCTCTGCATAGCAATAGAATTGAAGGGCAGAGGCCACAAGTTCTGTTTGTGTCTGCAGACGTCATCCTGCCCCTCTTTGTTGCTGAGACTAAGAGCCTGTTTGTCACATGCTCTTCTGAAGTTTGCCTGTGATGCCTGGAAAAAAAAAATAAAAAATTAGCTCTTGGGCTTTTTCTAGAAAGACACTGGCAGCCATTTCTCCAGGTCTTTGAGTATGTGTGTCTGTGATAATGCACCTGCTATTGAAACCTAACTTTGTAAACCCCGGTCTAACTCCGCACCTCCCTCCATCAACTTGACTAATCTCTGCACGTGAGGCTTTTGTCTCGTTACACTGGATTATAGTACTACAAGAATGCAAGAATAAATTGCATTTATTGCAACTTGCACTGAGTTTCCTACAGTTTTTTCCTTCACATGTTCACACAATTAAAGCTTTTTTTTTTTTTTTTAAATAAAGCTGCATGGTGACTATATGAGAGTTAAACTGATGTTTTGCTCCTGGAGTGGAGGTACCCCTGGGATACCAGTGTTGGTCCTGGAAGGTTATAATCTTCCATGTAGCAGCAGGATCCAGTGTGAAGATGTGGGGTGAAGGCCTGGGCAATCTCCCCATTTACTGTTGGCTCTAAAACCTGATCTTTTCCCAACTCAAATTTGATTTTTATGTGACCAAAGGGAGTGGGGTGGAGGAAGCTGTGGTGGTGAGTCAAAGTAGGGCAGAGGGCTTTCCAAATGTGGGGTGCTACCTCTCACTCACCCCCATCTAACACACAGAGCAGGTCTCCCTCACTGAGCTCACCACTTCCTGTCCTCTCAGGAAACACAAGACACTTGTTTGCATTTCAGGCAAGGGTGCATGCGGGATTTCTCGAAAAAGTTGGCAGTTGTCCGTAGATACATTCTTCTCAGAGTCAGCATGTTAACTAGTATAACTTTGTGGCTTCTGTGTTAATATATCTTCAAATCTGAAAAAGAAAATGCATTGTCCAGTCATGAGCTTGGACTCTTGAGTTTAGGAAAGCACACGTCTTGTAGCCTTGGGCATCAGGAGTTTCGGTGGGGGCCTTTTGCTTCTCTGGTGTAAACCTCATTGGGCAGTGAACTTCAGTTGGTCAGCAGTAACACCAAGACCAAAGCAGGAACCTCCTCCACCTGCCAAGTAATCCTGGGCCCCAGGGTCCTTAAGACAGCTCTGGGCTCTTGCCCTGCCTTGCAAAGGTGTTTCCCGTCTGGTCACCATTGATTAAAACTAGTTAGTGCTCAAGCCACCCGTCCCATGTGAGCCCTGCACACTCTGTCTTTCCTAAAGAGAAGCTTGTCCATGCCTAGCGGTGGCAAAATGCATGGCCACATCTCTCTTCCTGGCTTGTGAGCCCTCCTCAGCACGCCGTAAGATGTGTGAGGTCACCAGCCCCTCTTGGCAGCTCCTTGCCACAGAGCTGGCGAGAGTGAGTAAGCCTGTGAACCATGTGGATCTCTCAGAGACCTCAGTCCTGGGCTCATGAAAGCAGAGGATGCCCAGATAGGGGTGGGTCGTTAGCACGCACCAAGTGTTAAGAACCGAAACAACTCTCAGAAACTCACCAGATGTAATGGCGGTTTGGCCAACCTTATCAGGATGTCAGTGAATCAGTGAAACATGCTTTATATTTTTGAAGATTTACTTGTTTATTTGAAAGAGTTAGGAACCTTTCATCTGCTGGTTCACTCTCCCAGATGGTTGCAACAGTCAGGGCTAGGCCAGTCCGAAGACAAAAAACCAAGAGCTTCATCTAGGTCTCCTATGTGGATTAGCAAGGACTCATTTGGGCCCTCCTGTGATGCTTTCCTAAGCCATTGGCAGGGAGCTGGATTGAAGTGGAGCAGCAGGACTCGAACCAGTGTCCTTACAGGATGCTGGCATTGCAGATGTCAGCTTTACCTACTGGGCCACGAAACCAGCCCCAGTGAAACACCCTGTGAAAGTCCCCTCATATTCATTGGAAAGAGTTGTTATGTAATTACAAAGAATTCTGCCGTTGACTTTCATTTTGATGAATAGCCTCAAAAATATCTGTAAAAAACAGTTCCTTATTTCTTAAAAGGCATATGAAGTGGTCCCCTTAGGGAACTGTGATATTTGGATGCTTTAGACACTCGCTCAGGACCCTGTTGATATCTGGAATTTGTTCTAGTAAAGACGAACTCCCTCTCTCCCTCCCTCCATTTCTCTTCCTCTTTCTTGCTCTGAAAGTCCTGAATCCCTCATCTCTGTAGGGAATTGTGCCTGGGGCCAGATGAGATCCAGCCAGCACCAAAAACTCTCTCTGTTTTTAACTAATCAAGCTGGGACACGCTTCTTTGAAAAAGAAAATAAAAAAAAATTTTTTACAAGTATGTTGTTCATTCATGAAAAAGTCGTTTGCATTAATTCTTATTGAATAGATTTGGGGTAGACATTTTTCTCACTTGTTGGGAGAAGGCAGCCAGTAGCCGTGTGAACCTCCAAACACATCCACACAGCCTGACTTACAGCATCCCGAAGCACCTGCACAACATGACTTCTCGCATCCTGGTATCGTGGCCCCTGGCTTCTGTCTTCCTCTGTTTGCATCTCTGAGAGGCGACACCCGGTCCTGATTAACAATAGGACCTGGAGCCAGCCCATCGTTGTGGGTTCACATCGGGACACCCCCCCACTCTCTCACCATGTGGCTTCGGCCGTTTCACTTTCTGATGCCTTGGTCTTCTTTGCTATAAAATAGGTCTCATAGTCTATGTGAATCAGAGAATTGCCCAGGTGGGGAGTTGGTGAGGGTGCCTCAAAGTCTGTGCTCCCCTGATAGTAATTTGGAAACATTAATTTGTGTGTGTGTTCTCAAGCTGTGCTGGGTCATATGGTAGCCACTAGCAGACGCATCTATCGGAGCACTTGAACGGTGAGGGGTTAAATGAAAATGTGCTCTAAGGAAGGCACACCAGTTTCCAGGGTCATCAAAGGCAAAGGCATGCCACATGCCCTATTCGTGATTTCGTGTTAATTGCATGTTAGAGAGATGATTGTTTGAATACCCTGGTTGGCAGCGAACATGTAATGAAACTTAAATTACACATGTGGCCCATTGGACGGTGCCGATTCCAGTAAAAAAATGTTCCCCTATCTGCATCAGTTATGGGAGAAAAAGAACATCATTCATTTCAGTCGTATGTGAAGCCAAGGATGCCGACAAATGCTTCACACCACAGGGTTTAAGAAAACTTATACTCCATTTGAGAAGCAGCACGTGGGATATAGACATTGTTTATCTGATGATTTTGTTGTATCAGAAGCTATGATGTTTAAACTTTTCAGTAATGATGGATGTTCTTTTTTAGCGACAAGTTCACTAGATTTTGTCAGTGGAAAAACGTAGAATTAAATATCCATGTGAGTATTATCTATCCATTTCTTTCTTTTATGCTTTCTTTTTTTTTTTTTTAATGGAAACTTGCTCTGGCCTCACCTCGTGAGAAAATACTTCGTTCCGTGGTTTACTCCCCAAGGGCTCGCTCCCAGCAGATGTCATTCTTAGAGTTCCATGTCTTAAAAACCCATTCTCCCCTGATCATCTGTAAACAGTTTGAGTTTTTTTGACTCTCTTCATATTCATAGAAGAATGTGCTTATTTATGTAAGAAGGAGTATTTTAAGGAGAGATTGACCCTTCCACAAAAACAGTAACAAAAAGGTCTCCTGCTCACGTAACTGCTACCATTTATGACAAGTCCTTTCTTTTTTTTTGTTATGTGATTGGATTTGTAATAAGGATTGGAGGTAACAAAGTGGTGGCCTCATCCAGGGGACCAGGGCTTCCCCTTCCACTTTATTATTTTGAGAATGACAAAAGACACCCCCTGATACAGGTCCCTTTCTGAGGACACAATTCCTTAGTTCCTCATTATCGTTCAGCATCACTGTCAATAAACCAAAGGCACAATCTTCCTTTTGCTTTTATTGTATTGAATTTTTTTTAAAATTTGCATTTGTTTTTAATTTTAATTTTTTGCATTTGTTTATAATTTTAATTGAGAGGCAGAGAGAGTCAGTCTTCCATTGTTGGTTCCAAATGCCATGGCAGCCAGGTGTTGGCTGGAGCCAGGGTTTGAACCTAGCATTCTGACATGGGACTTGGGGTCACAAGTAGCGTCGTAGCCACCACACTCAACTTCCCCCTTCTCTGTTTGAGAAGGTGCAGGTCTGGGTGCAGCTTCTATTAACTTTGGCTGTCTCCCTTTATATGGGCTTGCAGTTGGGCAGAAGAATCAACGAGTTTTGTTAAAATTGGCTTTTATTAGGCAGATTTACATAGAGAAGGAGGGTCAGAGAGAAAGATCCACCCACTGGTTCACTCCCCACTACTGCCGGACCTGAGCTGATCTGAAATCAGGAGCCTCAGTTTTTCTGGTCTCCCACCTGGGTGTAGGGCCCCAGAGTCCTCTTCTGTTTTCCCAGTCACATTAACAGGGAGCCGGGTGGCAAATGGAGCAGCCAGGATATGAACCAGTGCAGGTGGAGGAATCGCCTGTTGAGCCACAGCACCAGCCCTGAGTTGTTGTTTTCTTAAAGAATTTTTTTTTTAACTTTGAAAAGTACTGTTGGAAGAGAAGTATTTATCATCATCACTATTATTATTAGTAGTAGTAGTAGTAGTACTGACCACCACTTTTCTGTCCTCTTACCTAGCAGGATTTAGAAGCCCAAGGGAATAATACATTTTTTAAAAATCTAGACTTTCCTCCTGACTCCTGCTCCATTGCAGACCCCTTAATCCTATCTCGGGGTGTCAAATGTGCAGTCCAGGGGTCCTGTCCAGGCAGAGGTAGGGCAAGTGCGATGGTGTGAGGGTTTGCTGGGGCAGCCCCCAAACAGTCCCATCCTTAATCTGCCAGAACAACTTGGCATTTGCTGTCTGTCCAACAGCCTATCACCATGAACGTGGGATGGGCTATCTGCCTGTGTACTGTTTAGTGCCATGAAAACTGCTCCCTGGGACACTGTTGACAATGAATGAAACCCCTTTATGTTCTTGTTCCCAGACAGTCTTGTTTCATGCTCACATGTCCAGCCATGTTGTCTCCCCTTTGCTGTGGTTATCAGAACTACTACTACTAATAAAAATATATGAAGAGCCTGCACCTGCCGGGCTTCCCGCTGCTATGCCACGTGACCAGCAGAACATGCCCGTCCCTGCCATGGCTTCTCCCCTTCCTGCCACCGTGGCTGCTTGGGTTGTGTCCAAGCCTCAGGCTCCAGAGTGGCTGAGGCCACTTGGCATTTTGACCCTTGGGGGATGAAGGCAGATGGGAAAGAAGAGCCTCGTCTTAAAGTCTAGGATTTATCAGAGTGGGAAAATAGCCGGCTCACTCAGTGCCCTCATTCTCCTGCGTGCAAGGGCTCATTTAGCCTGCAGGTAGGACAGAAGGAGGCTGTGGGCGATTCTGCCACCCCTGCCCATGAGAAGATTCTTCAGAGAAAGTCTATGGATGGTGGAACTAGAAGTTAGATCTATTTGGGTGCCCAAACTATTGAAATCCATGCACAATGTTTTTGTAATACACATTTATCGTGCATTTTCTGAGCACCCCTTATAGCTCATTCTTCAGTTTAAGGACTCTGTTAAGTCCTGAATGGGCCAGATCGCTGTATCAGAGCTGCTATTACAGTTACTATATGTGTTTCCTAAGAAAACTCTTCACGGCAATATACATCTACGTGGTTGACTTGTTTCCTTTTATATTTTGAACCCGCAGTTGACCATGAATGATTTCAGTGTCCATAGGATTATTGGACGAGGAGGATTTGGTGAAGTCTACGGTTGCAGGAAAGCAGACACAGGAAAAATGTAAGTCCCCATATGCTCATAGATTTTGCTAGAAATGCTAAGAGGAATTTTTTTTTTAAACATTTGCATTCAGCGAAATCCCTGTATAGGCACGTTAGAAGTCTATGACCTTGCTGTATTTTGCTAAACAGGGTGACTGAGTCCCATAAAGCTGCAAGCTACATGGGAAGTCATACAGTGAGCATGTGTTGGTACCCACCTTGGTTCAGGGCCAAGAACCCAGAGATAAACAGGAAGTGATTTCTGACAACCACGGCAGATCATGCTGCAAGAAATTCTCCGACTGGGCAGTCAAGAACTCACCTGTGGTTTTGGGAGACACAGCGCTTCAACAGGCTCAGCAACTAACATCCTTACCTTGCACACACTGGAATCCAATTTGGGTGCCAGTTCATGTCCCAACTGCTCCACTTCCTACCCAGCTCCCTGCTTCTGGCCTGGGAAAGCAGTAGAGGATGGCACAAAGCCTTGGGAACCTGTACCCATGTGGGAGATCCAGAAAAGGCTCCTAGCTTTGGATCATCTCAGCTCCCACCATTGTGGCACTTGGGGAGTGAACCAGCGGATGGAGGATCTTTTATCTCTGTCTCTCCTCCTCTCTGTGAGTCTATCTTTCCAAGAAAAATAAATAAATCTTTTAAAAATATGTACTTAGAGGGGGCAAGAGTTTGATTCTACAGTTAAGACATTGTGTAGGATGCATGCTCCTGGTGTTGGAGTACCTGCTTTGAAACTTGTCTCTGTTTCCAGTCCAGCTTCCTGCTAATGCACACACCCTGGGAGGTTTCAGGTGATACCCAAGACCTTGTGTCCCTGCCACTTTCATGGGAGACCCAGATTGGCTTCCAGGCTTCTGGCTTTCAGAATTGTGGGGGAATCACAGAATAAAGTCAAATGAAATTTTTTGGGGGGGTGGGTGGAAACAACCCAACAACATAGAATTCTTTAAAATTTTAGTGTCTTTCCCATAAAAAGATCTCCATTATGTACATACTCAGTGGACTGTTATCATCATCATCATCTGAGAGGCAGAGAGAAAGGACTCCCTTCTGCTGATTTAGTCTTCTAGTAGCCGGACCTGCCTGGGGCTGGACAGCGACTGAAGCCACTCTAGGAGTTCAATCTAGATTTCCCACCTGGATGGCAGGAACCCAGTTACCCAAGCTGTCACTGCTGCCTCCCAAGGTCCCTATCAGTAGGAATTGGAGCCAGGAATGAGAACCTGGGGCTACAGCGTGGGCCGTGTGGATGACCTCATGACCAGACCAGATGCTCATGGTGACCTTTGTGAACTCAGTAGCTACACACTCAGTCCTGGCGAGCCTCCTAGTGAGCTGCCTCAGTGGCTGTCCAGGCAGCCCCTAGACTGTGTTCTCTCGTATACAAATATGGGCATGTGGAAAACACCTACTCTATAACCAAGCAAATTGGTGTCTTTGTTCACTGATTGGTTGTGTGAACTACAGGAAAAAAACAGAGGATGTGATCAACTTGGTGCATGTGCCTCTTGTCTTTAAAGAAGGACTCCATGGGGTTTCTCTGCCCTCCTAAGCAGTCCACATTGCACACGTGATAGCTGTCAAGTGGGACCCGAGAGTCTCACACACATTTTCCATCCCTGAAACACTTGTCAAAGCCACTTTGCCCAAATTCCCTTCCAGCCTTCTGTCATCTGCTCAAGGAAGCTTCCTGTTTTCTCTAATCTTTGATAGCAGAGCATGCCAAATGGCTCATCTGTGTTTCCTCAATTGTGAGTGTGTTCCAGTTTTTCAGAATTTCAGGTTGTCAGCTCAACGTTGTGGTCTTCTCAGTGTAGCATTGATCAAACATGACAGACGGTTTCACTGTCTTTTGTATTGTTTGAAATATTGTCATAAAGATTAAGAGGAAAAACAAATGGAGTTGTAGAGCGTTTCTTTGGAATGCCTACCTTCCCTTCCCATTTTGTTGGAGCATCGCTATCTTATAGTCGTATGTTGCTGTATGCATTTGACCACCGATGGATGTGCTGCTACATACTCTCTCCCCAGATCCCAATCCAGAGGCAATGCATGCAAAATGTATTTCACAGGAACTGCTTCTATCCGTTTACTTTATTTAACTCAGATCTCTTGCCATGTAGCGCTGGAAATATTTTAAATATTGGCCGCTTCTGCCTCTTCCCCTCCCCCATAACAGCATGCAAAATGAAGGTGGTCTTTGGCATAGGGTGCCACATTATTTCTTCCCGGCATGGTCTATGTCTTTAGAAACCTTCCCCGGTGTCCTGCACATAACTTTAATCCGCTTAGATGTATTTGCAGTATAGATTTTTCTTTTCATCCATCATATTTGCGTTTCTAGGTATGCAATGAAATGCTTAGATAAGAAGAGGATCAAGATGAAGCAAGGAGAAACATTAGCCTTAAACGAGAGGATTATGTTGTCGCTGGTCAGTACAGGAGTAAGTATCCAGTTCCCTGGATGGCTTTTTGGAATTTGCTTGTTGGATGGTAAGGTACTTTTCTTTCTTTTTTCATGGCTGGTTATGGGACCCAGCCAGGTGCTGATTGGATTAGAAGGGCGACATTGTCTCTTGTTTGATTTGGGAAGTTAGGCAGCTTTTCTTATAAACGCCCATGGCGGACCCTTCAGTGCCTGTTTGTCCTTGACCCTTGACTTTGCAGACTGTGGTAGCAGAGCTGGCAGAAAATAACCTTAAGGGGGAAGATGGCATGAAGGTAGTCAAGTGCAGAAGACCTGGTCCAGAGAAGGAAGTGAATGAGCATAGTAGCTTCTCTCTCTGAGCAGAGAGGGGAAGCAGCTGGCGACCATGTACTTGGCCTTGGCCTTTTGGCCTGTCCCCGGTCAGCGTTTATTGGAGAGGGATTTCTCCTTCACCTCAGCACTTGCTGTGGGCTCAAACAGTGAGGACGTCAGTCACTTCCATTGCCCAGCACCTTATTTCTGCTCATTACCTTTTGGTTTTTTTTTTTTTATTCATTACCTTTTGTTTAATGTGTTAAGTGATCATCTTGAGCACAATGTTTGTGCAAACTTTTTCCCCTTGTGTCCTTTTTCCTTCCGTCTTCCCTCCCTCCTTACCCTTCCCTCCATTCCTCTCTTTTTCTTTTCTTAGATTTATTTATGTCTCCTGAAAGGCAGGTTTGCACAGAAAAGTGACAGAGAGAAAGATTTTCCACCTGCTGGTTCATTCTGCAACTGGCTGTAATGGCTGGTGCTGAGCCGATCTGAAGCCAGGAACTTCTTATGGATCTCCCGTGTGGGTGCACGATCCTAAGCCTTTAGACTGTCCTCTCCTACTTTCCCAGGCCACAAGTAGGGAGCTGGATAGGAAGTGAGGCAACTGGTGTACAAACTGGCACCTATATGGTGCTGATGTCACAGGGTGGATAATTACCAGCCTGTTGAGTCACAACCGCAGCTCCCAAAGAACAGAACTTTAAAAGGGGCTCACAATCAATGAACCAAAGAGAATTAAAACCCAGGGAAGCTCGCCAGCCCAGTCTGAGTCCCCAAGCACCCTGGCTAGTCCCTGTTGAATGCTGTGCATTTTGTTTTTAATCCACAGCATCCATTGCATTGTGATTTACATGAGCCCCCTGTGAGTTTTTGGTGTGTCCAGGAGGGCTGTTTGCTCTGGAAGCCGAAGAATGACATCAGATAGTGAAACTGCAACAAATGAAAACCTCCTAGCTCTAATAACTAGTTCAGGACTCTGCCCTCTACCTCCAATACACGGATGCATGCTAAGCATGTCCAATCCAGGCCCTTTGTGTGTGTGTGTGTGTGTGTGTGTGTGTGTGTGTGTGTGTGTTTGTATGAGTGAGCAGGTTTCTAACCAACGAGTCCGGAAGCCAAATGGCCTGCACCTTGTGTTGGAATCCGTGTGTTGACACTGATGTCTGGCTCCCACCTCAAATTCCTGTGCCTCTTTCATTTAAAGCATCGACACACTCACTAGAAACTTTAAAGTGGTCATGAACATACTGGAGTTTAGTGCAAAGCTTTGTATGTTGGTGTATTTCTTCCCAAGAATGCCTTATAGGAAATAGAGGTTTTGTGGTTGTAAACTATAAACTTGCACGTAACATTTGTATACGGATTTTATTTGGGGGTGGGAGATACCATTGAGTAGTTGAATCATTTCACTAATGGGTTAGGTTGGGCTGCTATTTTGCACTGATTTGAAAGAATCAATTTTATGTTGTTTTATTCAGATACTGAAACCATATGATGTTTTTAAAACAGTTTATCATTTAAGATCACTTTGTAGAGGTGTTCCCATAGCTCTTACAGTGAAATACCCTCCTTCGGTGAAGCTTTGGGTTGGTGGAGGTCAGCAGAACTTCCTGTGGTGCAGGTGTGACATGCAATGGCATCTACACCATAGCCTTGTTTTCACTGCAAGAGTTCCCCCACCTGCCCAGATCTCAATGCTCACTATTCCTAATTTTATATCCCTCTACTGGTCTCAGTTTCCTTCTGTAAATCTTGGATGGTGGTGGAGAGGGGGGAACATGCTTTTTTTTAGAACCACGTTAATTATCTGTCTGACCAGGAAGACCAACCTGCAAATGTCACTTGCCCCTTGAACTACAGATGACTACGTCGATAACGCTGGGATAATGTCTGCTTCACTCCAAGCGTCCTGGATGTGCGACTTTGGCTCTTGCCCTTACGAGCCACATGGACTTGGAGAAAGGAGATGGTAGCTGTAGCATCTCAGCCATGCAGACATCATCAGGGCTGTCAGCAGGTGTTGGAGTAGAAAAGCATGCATGACTCAGCAGGCACCAGATGGGGCAGGCAAGCTGTCATGTGTGAATTGCACCTCGGGGGGTCAGAAGTCAACTGGGCATGTGCCAGTGCACACCTGGGTCCCAACCCTGGAAGGTTCGATCAAGAATTGAGAAAGACGCAGTATGAGTGCGAGAAGGGAGGGAGTGGACATCGTAAGATGAAACTGCTGAGAGATGCACAGGGGCCAGACTAGACCATAAAGAGTTTTCTAGGCCAGTGATGAGGATCTTGAAAACTGTCTTCCAGCAGTTGGAAGTAAAGCATTCTGCATGGCAAGACAAATGTCATTGATGAGCCCATTGCATCACAGCCTTAGGGAAGCTGCTGCCTGGCTCTTGACCTTGACCTGTGTTGGGGTCTTCGTGTCCTGGGCTCCATACACTGATGACTTAGGTCCTCTAGAGCAAAGGCATTGGCAGCAGTGAGTTCTGGAGGGTGACCATGTGTCACCCCTGTAACTGTGCTTTCCTGCCACCCAAAGAGCAACAGGGTTGGACGTGCGTGGTGGCCATGGAGACAGGTCTTATTTGATTATTGCTGATTGTGGGGAAAGAACTGAGCCCATCCTCACTTGGGCAGAGACACTTGGGACTTCTGAAGGGAGAATAGGGGGTGGATGCAGGAGGAGGGGTCCTGGAGCAGAGTCAGGAACAAGGAAAATGACAGACAAGGAAGAAGATGGGCTCGGCCTCCTGAGGCCCAGCTGGTCTCCTTCCCTGCCTCCAAGGTCAGGAGACAGAGCTCTGCCTTTAGGGAGGCTGGGCAGGAACCAACAGTAAGTTCCTCCAGTGGCCTTGAACTTCCTCAGACAGCCATTGGTCTTGCAATGGAGAGTTGCTTATTTATTTATTTACATGTTAACTATTAGTTTATTAATTTGTAAGATAGAGCTACAGAGGAGGAGGTGGGAGAGAGGTAGAAAAGAAAAATATTCCGTCCACTGGTTCATCCACAAATGGCCATAATGACTGTAGCTGGGCTAAGTTGGAGCCAGGAACCTGGAGTGCCAACTGGGTCTCCCAAGTGGGTACAAGAGGCCCAAGCTCTCATGCCTTGCTCTGTTGCTTTCCCAGGCTCCTTATCAAGGAGGTGGATTGGAAATGCAGCCACCAGGACTCGAACCTGTGCTGTGCTGGAGTGCTGGCATGGCCCCAGGCATGAGGTGCTGAGTGATGGGAAACTGTAGCTGTGTCTTCATAGGTCAAGTTTGAGGCCCACCGGTAAAAAGAGGACGCGGAAAAGCTTGCTAGAGTCCCGTCCAAGAAGAGTCTCGCTTGCCAGATTAATCTTGCTCATAATTTGCATCGGGAAAGGAGAACTTGGTTTCTGGGGACCCCAGGTTTGAAACTTGGCTGACTGCCACATCTTCCTGTGGTCTCAGGCCAGTCATTTCCCTTTTCAGGGGCCCTGGTTTCCTTGTGTTTAAAAAAATTGAGACCAGGCAATATCAAGACCCCTTCGTACTACTCAAATACCCTGATTGGAAGTCTTTAAAAAAAATTCATGTTTCATCTTAATATCATGATGTTTTAAGGAAGTAGCTTTAAGGATGTTTTAGGCAGTAGCTGTTTTCTCAATGCTGTCGTGAGAAGGACCATAAACCTCTCATGTTTACAAAATCTCTTGTGGAAGTCCTTCTGGGCACAAAGTGATGTGAGTATTGTCACCAGCTCAGGATGGGTGAGATCCCTGGCCCCTCCACTAAGCAGTGGGTCTGCCCACTTCTCTGCTCAGCTGACGAGACTGGGGAGGGCTCATGTGACACCCAGGCAAGCCCCACGTGGGATGGCGCCCACACAAGGGCACTGGAGCTTTTAGCAGAAGGATCATGCCCGTGTTTTACCCATTTAAGGCAAAATCAGTCTTAAAGTCAGCAAACACTCAACCCAGCTCGACAGGACACTTCAGGAGAGCTAGGTAGCCATGAAACAAACTGCAATTTATTCTGGAGGCGGTTTTGCTCTGAAAGATGTTTGGAAATCAAGTTCAGGTTCATGAATCTTTTAGTTCACAAGAGTGTGTGAACTCAGAAAGAAGCCTCTGCTCTTCCTGGTTGACAGATGGTCGGAATTTTGAACGTTTTTGCAATTTCTTTGGGGACAGCTGAGGTTGTACATCTTGTTTCTAGCTCTGTGAGCCACTTAGTATCCTCCTGGGTGTGAAAGCCCTGTTATAAAGTCCCTGTGTGTACCCATTTTCTGGTTTATTTTTTTCTTCTTCACTGAGTTATAAGAGTTCTTGAATATATTCTAGCTCTGGATCCTTCCTGTGTGTATAGATTGCAAATATCTTTTCCTGTCCTCTGGCATGTCTGTTTCTTTGTCTTCTGGTGCTGTGTGATAAACAGAAATCCTTAATTTCACTTTAGTCAAGTTCATCAATGTTTCCATTATGGGTACGTTTTGTGGCATATTTAACAAATGTCTAATTACCCTAAGATCATGAAGATATTCTGTTGTATTTCCTTCTAGAATCTTTTACTGTTTAAACTTTCACACTCATGCTTGCAACCACTGAAGGTGAATGTAGAGTAAGGTGTGAGATAGGGGTTGAGTCTCAGGCTTTCTTGTAACAGGTATCAGGGAAAAGACCCTGCCCTGTTGTGTTACCTTGTGGCAAATGACTGTGTGAATGTGGAGTAAGTGTGTGTGTGTGTGTGTTTCGAATTCTCTATTGTGTTTTACTGGTCTGCTTGTCTGTCCTTGGGCTGTTTCCACATTGTCTGAAGTCATCTTGCCTCACAGTGAGTTGTGGTGTCTGTCACTACAAGTTATCCAGCTGGTTTATCTCGAGGAATACATGAACTTCTTTGACTGTTTGCCTTGTTGTAAATTTTAGAATCGGCCCGACAGGGCTCATTTTTAAATGAAGAGCCCGTGGAATCTACAGATGGATTAGAGGAAAATGGACATTTTTACAATTGAGTTATTAAATCCTTGACCATGATTTATTTATTTTCTCCCACTTGCAAGAGCTAATTTGATTTCTCAGTGTTTCAAATACAGCCATGCAGACAACACCCTACCCCTGTGGCATGGCTCCCCCAGCTTTGCTACTGAACATGACGCAGGTTGCCGACCATCCAGAGTTAAACTGCTGACCGCCCAGAGGACTGGCGGGGCAGGGATCCTTTTGGCACAGCCTGTGGTGTGTAGAAGAGGCTGTAGTTAGAATCGACGCATGCCTGACGCCTATGGAGAGTAGACCATCAAGTTCACCCACCCCAGTGACTAACACTGATGTGGAATGAGCTTTATTTCTTCATTTGAAAGACAGAGGAGCAAGGAGATTCATCTCCCACCTGCTGGCTCACTCCCCGGTGGCCCAAAAACAGTTACTTGGGGCTAGGCCAGGTAGAATCTGGAGCGTGGGACTCAATCCAGGACACCCACATGGCTGATCAGGACCCAGATTCTTGAGGCATAACCTGCTGCTTCCCAGAGTTGGCATTAGCCAGGAGGGTCGAATCGGAAGAGGGACTGGATCTGGAACCCACCATGGGATGCAGATGTCTCAACCAGTGTCTTTGCTGCAAGGCCAGACTTTTTCCCTAGTGCCGTGTCTCTGTGCATTTTTCCCAATAACCAGTGCTGTTTTGCCTTGACTTCCGCAGTTACCCTGTAACTCAGGGCAAGGGGTAGATGGGGTGGCGGTGGGGGGCACTATGGTATCTGTAACACGGAGTGTGGCGTAAGATGAACTGCACAAGGGTGGCTTTCGCTCGTCTTACGGACTTTCCATCTTTTCACTCCAGGACTGTCCTTTCATCGTGTGTATGACCTACGCGTTCCATACTCCTGATAAACTCTGCTTCATCCTGGATCTGATGAACGGTGAGTGTGGATCTGAATTCCCAAAGGGCTTGGCCAGTGGTGCATTGGATAGGGGGTGAGGGTGTGCAGACACACTTGGCGTCTTCCCAATAATTAGGTTCCCCAGAGTTCAAGGAAAGAAACCTTCTACTATTCAGTTTTCTCTTGGGATGTATTCAAAACTGTTGACTGTGACTTCTCCCTGGGCCTCCCAGTCCTTTCCCCACCTCCTCTCTCTCCCCCTGTCCCGCCCCCTCCTCAGGAAGCTGGATTCTGCAGAAAAGGTTCTCATAAAGCCACTGAGAGTGCAACTTGATTTGTTTCTGGAATGCAGCTGGCCTTGGTCTTTAATTAGCTTATCCCCAGGCCCTCCACTTGTAAGAATAAGATAACCCCGCAAAGATACAGGCCAAACACATAAGTGTATTTAAAAACCAGTGTTGAACAGCCAACTGGGGGCTAGGACAGGTCTTAGCTCAGCCTTCCTGCATTGTTTAAGGCTGCAGTGCCACTTTCCTAGAACGGAAAAGTGACATGGTTACAAATTGGAAATGTTCTTAGTAACCAAAACCGAAAGAAAACGACCATTTTATTACTCAGGTACCTGGGCTATGTTTTTTTAAGTGCCCTTGAAGTCTGTTCCTGTTTTTGAGTGACTTAAAACCAGATCTATCCAAAACCATGACGGGGTCTCACAGACATGCCAAAGCCACCCGTGTGTGACCCTGCACGTGTATGAGTGTTGGGGAAGACACAGCTGGTGGCAGGGAAAGGGCAGCCTGGCAGGAGCCTGCATTTTCTCCACGGTGTGTAAGACGTGCGCCTACGGAAACCAAAGGCAGGCGTGGGGCTGGAGCAGAACCTCCTCCTCCCGCGTCTGCCGCGCCCTTCTGGCCATTGGGGACAGCAGCAGAGTTTCTGCACGATTGATGTGTGCACTGCCCGCCTCCGCTTGCAGGGGGCGACCTGCACTATCACCTCTCGCAGCATGGAGTGTTTTCCGAGAAGGAGATGCGCTTCTACGCCACCGAGATCATCCTGGGGTTGGAGCACATGCACAATCGCTTCGTGGTCTACCGAGATCTGAAGGTGAGTGAGGACAGAGGTGGTCTGGTGCAGGGCTTCCTCCATGTCACAGGGGCACCCCCCCCCGCCATGTCCCCTGCGCCATCATGGGGCCCCCTCCATGTCCTCTCTGTCATCACGCAGTTGCTTCTACCGTCATGGGCCCCCCCGTCATCCCCTCTGCCGTCATGGGCCCCCCCTCTACACTCCCTCCCTTGTCACAGGCCTTGTGCCTTGTGACTTCATCACAGCCCCTTGACGAAACCCTCATCTGTGCGATGTCTGACCCTGCCAGGTCAGACACCACCATGTCCATTGTAGTGCCTGCTGCAGTGCTAGCACTGAGTTCAAAACAGTGATTGGTTAATTAATGAAGAGGAAGAGAGGGCTCGTTGTTCACTATTTTGGAATAGATTGTGGTTCTGTTCATGCTCGCCAAGCATCTGCATTGGTCGTGGGCGTGAAAGAGCTGGAGGTGGATGGAGTGAACGAGCAGGTGTGAAGAGTCTGGCTGTTGAGATGCCTGAGTCCCATATGGGAGTACCTGGGTCCAGTGCCCGGCTCCAGCTCCTGACTCAAGCTTCTGCAAATGGACCCTGGGAGCAGCAGGTGGTGATCATGGCTCAAGGTCATGGCTCCTGGGTACCTGCTACCAACACGGGAGACCTGGTTTGTGTTCCCAGGTCCCAGTAATTGCTGTTGCTGGCTTTTTAAGAGAGTGAAGCAGTGGGTAGCAGTGCTGCTACGTGCTCTTTCTGCTTGTCTCTGTCTTTCTTTCAAATAAATGACTTAAAAGACAAACATGTTAAGAACGTAAGAAGTTTTCCAAGACTTAAAAGCCGATAAAGTTAAGACCTTGCACAGTCTGAAGGTAGGGGCAGTGATTCACAGGTCAGCTGCAACTTCACATTGTACAGGGTCTTGAGAATAGTGCAGGGAGATTCCAGTGGCTTGTGTTTGCCCCTTACTTCCAGATTCTTCTGGAATGAACCTGCAGTGGCCAATTGAAATGTGCAGGTGATAGTTGATAATTCCTCTCTAAGGATCGAAAGATGACTTTAAAAACAGGTTTATTGGTTTGAAAGGCAGATGGATCGAGAGAGTTCTTCGGTCTGCTGGCCACTCCCCCAAAATGCCCACAGCAGCTGGGCCTCAGCCAGACCAAACAGGGGATCTGGAGCTCCCTCCTGGTGTCCCATATGGGTGGTAGGGGCCCAAGTCCCTGGGCTGTCATCCACTGCCTTCCCCGGGGCCTTGGCAGGGCGCTGGATCTGAAGTGCCTGGGATGGGTTCCTGGCATCCCAAGCAACCACTTAACATGCTGTGCTACAATACTAACGCCCTAAGATTTCCTTCTAAGAATCTAAAGCAAAAAAACAAAACAAAACAAACAAACAAACAAACAAAAAAACAGGAAAAAAAATCTAAAGCATCACATTTTGGTTCTAAGCATATTTTTGTGTTTAAAAAAAAATGCTTTATGAGTTTTAAAACTTCCTGCAAGTTTAAATAATTATCTAAAGATATCTTCAAATGAGCGTTTGGGAGGAAGACAACCTGTGTCTATTGAATTATGAACAATTAGCCTTGGGCTCAATCACGGCAGTTCATTTCCCTGTGTACAGGCTGCGGAATGAGAGAGTATGCTGTGGGCCCGTGAAGCGCCACTGTCCCACACTGTCATTTACATCTATAACCGGCCACTAATCATCTTGAGGCCGTGTTTTGGTTTGCTAAAGCTATTTAGTTGGCAAATGGCATTCTTTAATTTCTATTCAAACTTAATTCTGGTCACTCATGGTTATTCATGCTTCAGTTTTATACGAGCCTGCCGTTATTCTTTTTTTTTTAATTTCAAACAAAAACAAGACTTGATCTCCCACAGAAGAATATTATTAAGGCGACCGTAATGTAATTCCACGTGTATTACAGAGGAGAGCTTTGTTGTCCGTGATTATGTGGGCTAAATCTAATCTTCACGGATACATTGTGGTTAGAATCCCCTCTGGTCATTAGCCAGGTCCCTGGGTTGAGGCTGCACTTATGAGGATGGCAAGGCCACTTCAGCAGAGTTAGCGTGTCATGGTGGGGTCTTTGGTATGGTACAGCTCTTGCCACATTCTTTCTGTTCCGTGCCTGGTGGCTTCATGCTCAGAAGTCCTCGTGGTCTCTGTAAGCCATCAGAGTGGTAGACTCACTGCCCACGGTCTGCAGACACTGTGTCCTGGTTGCATGGTAGTTCTGGGTGCAAGGAAAGTAAACTGCTCCTAACCCCAACGACCGTGACCGTGACCACCTGGTGTGGGCTGCCTCACAGCTCATTTTCTGTCTAGCAGGACCTTTCAAAGTCTGCCTTAGCAACTCCCTGTTAAAGCTCACAGGAGCAGTGTGTTTGTTGGTGTTGTGCCCGCTTGGGTGTGACCCTAAGAAGCTGTGAGGTTCATATGAGTGAACCTTCGGTGTCTGTCCTCCAAGATGTCCTCAGAGCCCCTGAAGGTCAACCTTCTTCTCTCTGTGTGTGTAGCCCGCAAATATACTCCTGGACGAGCACGGACATGTGAGGATCTCGGACCTTGGGCTGGCCTGTGACTTCTCCAAGAAGAAGCCGCACGCGAGCGTGTAAGTCACCACAACTCTGCTGTCACCATTCCTCTCCTGACACTGGCCTGGCCCCTCGTGCATCCCACTTGTCTGTCCCTCACCAGCGGTGACTCTCAGTGCTTGAGGACGCCTGCCCCGGGGAGCCCTTGGCGTCCGAGGTCATGGGAGGAGAGATGAGAGTGGTGTGTTTTTCAGCGCTGCCTGCGGGGAGTGACTGAACCTGCTCAGCAGCCAGCATGGTGACCCTGCTTCCTGCTGCCCAGGTCACTCTAAGTGGGTCACTGGGCTGTTCAGTCTCCAGGCTGAGAAGTTGTCGTCGGGATAGAAGAAGATTCTGAACCACAGAGAGATGTGCTTCAGCGACTTCCTCTTTCCCATAAAACTTTTTTTTTTTAATCAGAGAAAAAATCGTTTAGTCCTCTGATTATGTGGAGGTGATTACTCTGGGCCACAATTCTCAGATATGGAATTGCTGCTAGTAGCAGCAGCCATGTCTGAGCATCCCACAGCAGCTCTGCCGAGGACTCTCTGGACCTAGGCTTGTGGACACAAGGATGGACACACGGGGCGGACAGCGATCTCAATGCTCTGAAAAAGCAGAGTGGAGACTGGACGCGGGTGTCACTCTCTGCCCCCTCGGCCTCAGGCTTCCCCCAGGTGGAAAGCACGCCTGGGCGTGCAGTGTGTGTTCTATCTTGTGCTCAGCTCCACGGGTCTGCACACAGCGTTCATACCTCCTGGACTTCGGGCCGTCTCTGCATCCAGTGCTTTGGAAAGAGCCCTCCCCTGCCCGGGATGCACCTTGTCCATAACCCCAGGTGAAGAAATGAGCTGTGGCCAGCGTTCTGTATGGCCGCAGAGCGGAGTGGCTCTGCAGCGCTCGGACAAGCGAGGCAGCATGAAGTCAAGGCCTGCCTCTTCTAGCCAGGATCCAGCGGTCACAGCAAGCAGCACCCTGTCTTTAAACACTCTATTCTTGTCTCCTATTCGCTCCCTCCCCAACCTGGGAGGTACTGATAAAAGCATTAGCATTTTTCTAGCACTTCATAATTATTAGGCCAGAACCTGTGGTTGTATAAGCTGTTCCCAGGGAGTTCATCAGCCGGGTTTTTAAGAGAGTCGTTTGAATTTTTAATGCCATGGCTGTTTGGTATGCTAATTTCTTCAATCTTGTGTAGTCTTCACTAAATGTGAAGCCGTGAGTTCATGAGAGTTAATCTTCCAGGGGAATTAACTTTCACATGCAGGGTTATTTATTTTCTTAGAGGGCCTAGCACTTTTTTTTTTTTTAAACTGCAATTCACAGAGGCTTTGAACCACAGAGCTGTTCTTTTTTGTCTCTGGAAAGTGCAGTGTTTGAGCAGCACCTATAGGGGGTGCAATAGGGCAGCTGTCCCGCAGGTGTGAAGGATCTGAGGGAAGCCACGGACTAGCCACAGGGCCTCTTTCTAGATAATTCCAGAAGGAAGCCTTTCCCCTAAAATGCTCAGGATGTCCCTCATGCAACTTCCTGGTGCCTTCCCAGTGTCGTTTAATGATCTCACACCTTCCCAGCTTTAAATTCTGCCCAGGGGGAGCTCTCCTGAGACCCAGACACTCCTCAATGTCCAGTGTCCCTCCTTGACACTTGGTACCGGGGCTACTGGTGGCTCATAACCCGAGGTGGTTTCCTGTGCGGATTCCTGTTGTTCCCGAGCACACAGAGGTGACCCAGTGGAGCTGCAGTCGTGTGCATGCGGTCCTCACACCTCCTGAGACACGGAGGCGCTACCTCATTATTTGTGCCATCAGCACGGAAAGTTGGTGACAGCTGAAGAGGCCATGGGCACGGCTGATGGCCATCTCGGGAGCCCTCGCGGCTGCATCTTTGAAAGGTCTTCTCCAAGTACCTCTGGCTCTTGAGAATGAAGTGACGCAACATGCCGGGCTCTCCTGCGAGGGCTGGAGAGGACCCATTGGGGCGGGGCTGCAAGGTGGTGGCAGCAGGTGTACAAATGGCATGAGAGAGACTGCCCATCCTGAATGACTTTTTCTCAGCTCTTTACAAAGTGTCTTCACGTTTGCTGGATGCTAAGTCCTCAGGCCTCGAGCAACTCTCAACACCCAGCATGTGCCTTCTTGCCCTGATCCACTTTACCCACGAGCTTGAGCTCCCCTGGGGACCTGTTGCCTGCTGTCACCAAGCAGGCAGTCCTCACTGTAACGGTGTTTGGGCTCAGGTGCACAACGGGAGTGGCACCTTGCAGGGGTGGATGTCCCCCAACCCACAGAACCCCCAGTGCCATGGCATGGTTGCCTATCACTCCCGCCCTTCCTCTTCTTTCTTTTCCCCTGTGGCCCCAGCCCCATGAGTCTCAGAAGCTCCCAAGGGGGTGTAGACTGTTTTGGTGTCTGAGGCAGAAGTTGAGTTGGGGATGGAGCACAGATGGGATGGTCTTCAGGCTGTGGACCACTTTACACTGAGCTCCCAGGTCATCTGTACGCTCCCCGACAGGGCAGAAGGAACCATGTTTCCCAGAGATGCCCAGCGAGTCTCTTGTGTTCCCTGTGTCCTGTTGCTGCTGTCTGTGTATGGTGCCTGCGCTTGCTGCATGGTCAGGATGTCCTCAGGCGGGACCTGCCCTGTAACCTCATGTTCCCTTTCTTCTCCCCAGGGGCACCCATGGGTACATGGCTCCCGAGGTGCTGCAGAAGGGGACAGCCTATGATAGCAGTGCCGACTGGTTCTCGCTGGGTTGTATGCTCTTCAAGCTCCTGAGAGGGTGAGTGGGATGCTGTTCGCTCGTGAACTTGAGCCACTTGGAGAGTGTTTAGAATCTGAAAGATGGTCCAGAAGGTTTGCTCTTCTCTTTCTTCCTTCTTCTCATCTTCCCTCCTCCTCCTTCCTTGCTGCTTCTGCTCTCTCTCTCCCTTTATTTGTATTTATTTGAGAGTTTGAGATCTTCTGTCTGCTCATGCAGACTCCCAAATTCCTGCAACAACCCCATGTGGGCCAGGGATGCAACCTATGGCCAGAATTCAATCTAAGAAGTGGACCGGCCCCTGTTGCCACATAGGGCATCTGTTAGCAGGAAGCTGGAATCAAGAGCACAACTAGGACTCAAACCCGGACCCTTTAATGTGGGATCCCAGTGTCCCAAGAAGTGTGGAAACAGCTGGAGCAGATGCTGGCCGCGGTGGTGACATCCCCACACGCTTTCCCTTAGTCTTTTGTCCCATTCCAGGTCGGAATCACAGTGGTTTTAAGTCTAAAAGAAATCTCCTTTGATATATTACCATCAATAGACCGTACTCTAGGAATAAGCATTGTGTTGAAATGTGGATACGTGGGCAGGTATTTGTTGAAGACACCGCTTGGAATGTCTGAGTCCTTGGTTGTCTCAGCTCCTGTACTACTTCTTCTTCTTTTTCTAAAGATTTATTTATTTTATTGGAAAGTCAGATATACAGAGAGAACGAGAGACAAGAGGAAGATCTTCTGTCCGATGATTCACTCCCCAAGTGACCACAATGACTGGAGCTAAACCAATCTGAAGCCAAGAGCCCAGAGCCTCTTCCAGGTCTCCCACATGGGTGCAGGGTCCCAAGGCTTTGGGCCGTCCTCGACTGCTTTCCCAGGCCACAAGCAGGGAGCTGGATGGGAATCAGGGCTGCTGGGATTAGAATCAGTGCCCATATGGGATCCCGGCAGGTTCAAGGTGAGAACTTTAGCCACTAGGCTACAGGGCTGGGCCTGAAAATATGGTTTTTTTTATTTTTTTTTAATTCTAGCAAAAGTAGCAAAAATATGGTATGCATAATTGGAAGAGGTAAGATTCGTTTTTGCTCTAGAGTTTGATTACTCATGGTTCTCTTATAAATGTGCAGCATTTTGAGGACTGTAAGAAGAATAGAGGCTCTAAGCAAATCCATTTTTTTTTGGCCTGCTTTTATTTGTAGACATGCTGGAGGTAATTTGTCTTTGATTTGTATTTATTTTCATCTTACTTGAAAGCCAAAGTTACAGATAGATCTTGAATTTGCTGGTTCACTCCCCAAAAGGCCAGGTTCAAGCAGGGCCTGGGAGTTCATTGCCGGTCCCCTACGAGGGTGGCAGGGATGCAAGGACCTGAGGCTTTGCTGGTTGCCACACAGGATGTGCGTTAGCACGGAGCTGGACTCAAGTGGGACTGCTGGGACCCAAACGAGGCCCTCACTCGGGCCAGTTGGGATTCCGAGAGGCGACTTAACTGCCATGTCAATTTCTTACTCCTATTTTGTATTTTTTAAAGCTAATAATATATGTGACCCCTGTGCTATAAACTACGTAAGATGATGCCAATGAGTAGAAAAGATAAGGCGATATCACCCTCTAGATATAGTCTCATAGCAGAACTCAGAGGCGGGGAGGGGACTTGGGGTGGCGGTAGGGGAAATGCCAAGGCCTATGGAGCTGTATCATAAAATGATAATAATAAAAAAATAATAATAATTTACAAAAAGGTTAATAAAAAACAAAAAGCCACTTAAAGCTTAGTCTTCCCATTAATTTTAATACATTTTAGCTAGTTTCCTAGAGAGCTTAAGTTTTTAAGGTATCTGTTTGAAAAAAAATCCTTCATTCACAACCATGTGCCTAAAGTCATTTCTATTAAAGTTTTCCAGGGCCGGGTTCCACTTTGCTGATTTCTCCTGGGAATGCAGCTCTGGGAATTCACGCCTTCCTTCCGTCTCCACCATGAGACTTAATTGGGCACCACTGCCTCATCTTATTGCATTTAGCATGTTCTGAAGAGAAGCTGATTTCCATATTCCACCCCGAAATCAGGTCCCCAGCACCCTGGCCGTTTCCTTAGGACCCCGCTAATCTAGTTGCTCTCCGCTCACCGTGTATGCACTTGGGATCTGAAAATTGCATTACTGCTTCGAAAGTCAGGGCCTGTGGATGCGTTAATGGGATTACCGTGTGTGTGGAGCCTGGAGGGCCTCAGCCCATGTCTTCAGACTAGCTGACTTCATCAGAGTGTATGCCAAACCAGCCAGCCAGCTAAAGCCGGCTCCTACATGGGAGCCCCCCCCCACCCCAGTGGTGCCCCTATGTGCAAGGGGGACTGGTGAGACCTCCTCTCTCCCCATGGTGGTCTTAGCCATGGACCTCTCCTGGAGAAGCAGACAGAGGAGCAAAACCCATGCCCACAGGGTGAGGGAGTAATACTAAAGGATTCCCTGGCACAACCACCAGCAGTTAGATCTGCAAAGCTTCCCATTCAGGACCTAGTGTGCTGCCTTGATCTGTCCCCCCCTTTTTTTTCTATTTGCAAAAGCGGTCGTGTGTGTAGACAGAGGGACCTGGCCTGACCCTACTTAAGGTTTTGAAAAAGACTAGAGCTGGGCGTTGTTCCTTCTTAACCCTGTGGAGTCCCGCGGTGGGATTTGCAGTAGAGAAGGGCAGTCGGGCTTTGCTTGACCTGAATTCCAGTTTGGAACAACCAGAAGGGGAAGCTGCTGGGAGTCCTGGCTGGGGCTGGCTTGGATGTTGATGTTGCATGTGGCTCCCATCCAGGGCCATCTCCATGGGCAGCTGGGGCTGAGAGGAGGATGGTGAGAAAGTTCCAGAGCTTAGCACGGAGCTTGTGGTCCCAGGGCTGGGCTCTGGCAGCCAGAGGGCCGTCACCCTGACCATGTCCACACTGTGGAGAGCTGCCAGGGGCAGGGGTGTGGCATGCCCATTCATAGCATTGAGCTGCCCAGTGAAGGAGTGCCCTGCCTCACAGACACAAAATGGCCCTGGTGAATGCTCAGGGGTACTGGACATCAGGGTGCCTTCTGGTGCATGGCAGACAGGGCGGGATGCATCCTCCACTCTCCTATCTGTGCCTGGACCCTGTTCTTCCTAGGACCCACCCAGAAGGCATTCATGGGAAGGATCTAGCACTAAGAGGAAATAGTTTTTGACACAAGTGATTTAAAAGGAGGCTTGATAAGCCTTTACTTGCAGTGTGCAAGAGCATATGCTTGATGCAGCAGTGACGAGCGGAGGGGAGGAGTCGGGGAGCAAGAGGAAGTGATGGAGAGGGGAGGGCACAGGGAGAGTTTTCAGGTTACCTGTGGTCCAGGGAGAGCAGGCGCAGATGTGTCTACACAGGGCTGGGGTGCTTGCCAGACTGTGCCAGCTCAGCCACCACCAGTGTGCTGGTGGGTTGCAGACACGACAGAGATGATTCAAACCTGCAAAACAGGGGCTGACTTCCTAGAGGAGGAATGTATGAAGGAGGCTTTGAAGGACCCTGCCTAGGAGGGTGGTACGAGGACACATGGCAAGGGACGCAAGAGGAGGTACCAGGAGCAGGTTGGCATTGGTCAGTAGGCAGTGAGAAACCATGTCCCAGGTTGGGAGAGGATAGACCCTGGCAAAGGAGGGGAGCGCATTGGTCAGAGCACATGCGCATGTGAAGGTGTGTCCATGTACATCTGTTGTCTCGCTCCTCCATCTTGATTCAAGGTGTCCATTAGGGAAGACAGTCGATGTGACAGTGGCGTTGGCGTCCAGCTCCTTACCACCAGTGCCTTTTTGTCTCTGGAGCTGTTACATGTAGGGAGAAAGCCTGGGTTCACGCAGGGTGGGGTGGCCTGATGCTTACCGAGTACCGCCCCGGGTTACTGAATTTATTCGACGTAGGGATAAAAAATAATGTTGATAAATATTTTGGCAGCTACTGGCTGAGGTTCAAAATAGACACGTGCTGTTAACATGCTGTCTCTTTTGGTACCCTAGAACTCATTTTTGACGGAGAGATTTGCTTCTCTTGACATTATTAGTGTCTTATTTTTGCACTCACTGCCTCCTTGTGAACATGACACATCCAACGTGGGTGCTCAGGGGGTGTTTCCGCATCACTTCTGTGCTCTCTAGCCATCTCCCAGCTCTCCTGGAGGGTGGAGGGGCAGGTGCGTGCACAGCTGTCCTGCTCTGTCCGTCTTCCCAAAGGTCACGCCTGACCATGGCCGCAGCCCGCCACAGCCTTCTGTTTCCACGGCCTTCCCGGCACAGCGTGGGAATGCCACGTGGCGCAGGGTGGCCTTGGCCCCACTGCCCGGCAGGCCATCACCATTTCCTATTTTAAGCGGCTGCATCAGAGAGCAGCTGCAATCACACAGGGCCCGGCAAGCACCACGTGCACACTCAGAATGGAGATTATTGCCGCCGTAGGTTTTCTTTAACATCTTCCAAAATAGAAACCCAAATCTTTGGCTTTGTTCACAAAGAATAATGAAGAATACATTGGAAACAGATGTGCATCATCACGAATTCGCAACTTTGGAAGACCCAACTTGTTCAACACCGCAGCACAGATAGAACCGAGCGGCTGCGGCCACGTTCTGCCATCATTGTTTCCCGAGTTGGGCAGGGAGCCGCTGTGTTTACAAAGTAGGGCTTGTAGCAAGGCGGCTCAGGCGTTGGCCATGTTTCTGGCCCCACTAGCTCCAGTTCCAGCCTCCCCCTTCAGGCCTCCCCGTGATCTCATGGAAGGCGTGTTAAATTTAGCACAGAGCGTTTGTGTCAGAAGAGAGTGGGCCTTTTCTCTGCAAGGTTAGGGCATGTTGCTGTCCTTCCGGCACGAGATGCAGGCGAGGGCAGGGGGGTCAAGTGCAGGCAAGGACATGGCCTGTCGGAACACCACAGCTGGGATCATTTTTAGGGAAAATAAGTTTTATTTCTCACAGTTCTAGAGACGTGGTTGGGTGGCGGGGGGGGAGAGTTCTCTGCTGACATCTTGTGAGAGTCCCCCTTGCTGGGGGGGGGGGGCGGGGACGGGGGAGAGGGCAGCAAAAAGGTGGGAGCAAGAGAACAAGGAGCCCCAGTGTGATTCTGTGGTAGGCGATCCTTGGGATAACTAACCCATTTCCATAGCTCACCCATGTGGGCAACTAATCCGCTCTGATAACTAACCCACAGGGATAACTAGCCCACTTCACTAGCTAACCCAATGAGAAAACTAAGCCACTCTGGTAGCTAACCCACGTGGGTAACTAGCACACTTCCCAAGGTGATGGCTCGATGCAGTCACTTCTTCAGGCTCCCCGCCACCCCACCCCTTCTAGCACCATAGCGGTTCAATCTCCCAACATGGTTTGGAGGGAACCCTCACACCATGGCGGAGGTCAGGGAGTGGGTTCCTGTGGCTTCGCTCCCGTGAGTGGTGTCAGAAGGACTCTACCACACACAAGGAGCTCTCTGTTCGCCCTCACCCTCCCTTTTCTGTTCTGGCAGTGGGGAGCAGTGCAGGGTAGAGCAAGCCTTCTGCCTGCCTGCAGGTTAACACAACCATGTCCCACATGCTAGCCGGCTCCAGCGCCCGTTTCCAGCTGCAGTCCCTAGGAGTCGGCGGGGAGCGCTCAAGTGACTATTCTGCTAACCGCAAGCGAGGGACCTGGATGAAGTGCCCAGCTCCTGCTTCTCTACCTGACCCCTTGCTGCCCTTTGGGGATCGAAACAGTGGATGGGAACTTTGTGTATCAATTTCTCCCTCTTCCCCTCTTCCCCCTTTTCCAAAAAAAAAAAAAGTGATTTTAAAAAGTGGTAGGGTGTGGACTGGAGTGGTACATGGGAGACCCAGATGAAGCTCTAGGCTCCTGGCTTTGGACTGGCCCAGCCATGGCCATTTGTGGAATGAGCCAGCAGCTAGAAGTGACATCTCTCTCTCTCTCACTCTCCTTCTCTCTCTCTGCCCCCCCCTTTCTCCTTCCCTCCCACCCTTCTCTCTATCTCCTCTCCCCCCATTTGCTTTCTCTCTCTCCCTCTTTCCCTCTCCCTGTAACTATATCATTTAAGTAAATCTTAAAATGATTGAGTGAAAAACAACTGGGTATCAGAGAGACCTGAGGTCTTAATACAATTTAATGAATGTTTATCTTTTTTTCTCTGTGTCTTTAAACATAATATTTCTGGGTTCTATATGAAAGAGAATGCCACAAGTATGATGGGCTTTTTAGAATCATAGCTCGGAAATTACAGAGCATTTTATTATCCTATTTGTGTTTGAAATTCAGTCATTGTACCTTCTTTCTCCTTGGAAACAAGATGGAGTCCTTTTCTAATTGAGATCTATTTTGAATATTAGCATATGCTTGTGACTTGGTGTTAATTCACCTGTTTTTTTTCCCCCCTTCCAATCAATGCTTTTGAGAGTTGAGATGATTTGGGGCCTCACTGCACAATGGAGGAAAAGGAAGTGTGAGAGCGCCCCCTCCTGTGTAGAAGCGAGATGAGCGCTGGGAAGGCCGTGAAGGCTGTTGAGATGCAGCCCTGTCCCCTGGTGTTCCAGGCATGGTTCCACTGGCCATGGAACTCGGCCACCTTGGCCGGCTCTACGCATCAGTGCGGGGGGAAGCAGAATTTTAACTCTTTTTAAGAATCCCATTGGTCTACCATTTCAACATTCCGATCCACGTAATGGAGCTAACAGAGTATTTTATTTTTTATATAGCTTTGTAAACAAATGTATAGACTTCACCGCTTTCTAAGAACATGCTTCTGGGAAGAAAACTCAAGTCATACCTCTCCGTCCTGTGATTCTGCCTTAGAAGGCCATGGGGTCCTAATCTGCATCTCCTCACAGTGTGATTTGCACGATTAAATTTCTTCAAAAGCCACCTCCTCTAGTTTTAAATATCACAATGGAGTAAGAATCCCAGGCTTCCCGTGGGTTATCACGCAGACACTTGTCTTACCACCTGAGTCATTCCACGTGATGATTCAGTTAGGCACCTGCTCTCTCTCTCTCGCCAGCGTCTTGAATGTTGATCTAGTTTGACCTTCTGTGGCATGAGCCCCATCTCACAGAAAGAGAACAACATCCATGGCAGTGGGTTGATGTCTGGCTCCAGCCAGCAGACAGTTGAGGCGCCATCGGGGACCCAACATCTCTAGCTCTCATGTCCGGGGCTCCCTAAAGAAATGTTACGTTGGGCCCGGCACACTGGTCTAGCAGCTTAATTCCTCGTCTTGAACGCACCAGAATCCCATATGGGCACCGGTTCTAATCCCTGTGGCCCCGCTTCCCATCCAGCTCCCTGCTTGTGGCCTGGGAAAGCATTTGAGGATGACCAAAAGCCTTGGGACGTGCATCCATGTGGGAAACCTGAAAGAAGCGCCTGGCTCCTGGCTTCATATTGGCTCAGCTCCAGCTGCTGTGGCTGCTTGAGGAGTGAACCATTGCATGGAAGATCTTCTCTGTCTCTCCTCTTCTCTTTATATCTACCTTTCCAATTAAAAAAAAAAAATGGATCTTTAAAAAAAAGTGACCTCAATCGGAAAGGTGGACGTTCGCTCCCTGTGCCCACTTGTGAGGGTCAGGCAATTCTGAATCTCAAGAAGAACCCTCTTTGGTCACTGTTTTTTTTTTCCCACCTCTGGAAATGATCAATAGTTGCAATTTGCATGTTTATGTGGTGTTGAGTGAGCCCACGGCCCACTGCTCTACCCAAGCACGAGCCAGGGGTGCGAGCCAAAGTGCCCGCTGCCGTGTTGTAACAGAATGCCGTCTTGCTTTTGCAGTCACAGCCCTTTCAGACAGCACAAAACCAAAGATAAGCACGAGATTGACCGGATGACGCTCACCGTGGTAAGGGACAGTCCCTCCACCGCCGCCCCCTTCCCCCTCCAAGGGAAAAACCAGTGTTCTCATTCGCATCGTACTCCTCCTATTGCCTTCCATCAATCTGAGAATTACTATAGCGTTCAGCGTGTCAGGTAGCATGAAACACGATGGTGTGTATTTTGCGAAGATGGTGATACAAGAATAGTGAATGGGAGAAGTCTCCAGGGCCACAAACTGAGACTTGCTAGCACAACCAATGGGACAGAGAAACCCAAGCACAGAACTGAAGAAGCCATTCCTGGGGAGAACCCGCGGGGATATGGCAGCATGCATGGCCCACAGAAGGGGGAGGGGGGAGGAGAGGAAGGGGGCGGGACCTTGGCCCCACCTTGGCCCCAGCCTATGGGTTGCTTGGGAAACGCATCTCTGTTCCTCCGCCCCGCCTTCAGGACCCCTCTGCCTCGATGGGATGGGGACGTGGTGACAGCCTAGCCTGACTCCCTCCCCGCTGCCTCTCCCGCAGAATGTGGAGCTGCCAGACTCCTTCTCGCCGGAGCTGCAGTCGCTCCTGGAAGGCCTGCTGCAGCGTGACGTGGGCAAGCGGCTGGGTTGCCGTGGAGGAGGGTAGGTAGGCCATCGCCCCTTGGATGGCGCCGTGTCATCCCCGGCCCTTACGCATCTTCCATTTGGACCCGAGGGGAAAGATAATCACCCCGGGAGGGCACCGTGTGGACACCAAGATCCTGTGCGATTTAGTATCAAGAATTAGTCGCTTTTTAAACTCTTTTAACCATCGACCTTGGAGATGCTATGCTTGAATCCTGGTATCCTGTGGTCCTTCCGGTTAAGTGTCAGTGGTGATTGTAATGGCGGTGTTTTGATATAGTCTGATCAGGTTTGGACACATTTTCTCACACAAATTCACGACTGAGCAACTGCTGTCCTAATGCGTGCCTTCTGCGGTGTCAAAATTTTCCTGTCCCCCAAAACTCCAAAATTGTGGTCTTCCTGAAGGCTTATAGACGGGGTTCATGACACATCTCATTTTCTCCATGCCCAGGTTTGCTTCCCACAGAAACAACTTTACTGTGTTATGTGTGTAGCATACGTGTGTATGTGTGTCTTGTGTATTTTTAGCTGTGCGACGTGCACATGTGGCCTACATGTATGTCACACCTGTGTGTTTAAACTGTTGCATGTGTGGTATTTATGTGTGTGCGTGCATGTCTTTGTGTATATATGGCAGAGGCGTGTGTATGCGTGTTGTACCTATATGCTCATGTGTATAGATTGCATATCTGTAAGATAAACACATATATGCGTCTGTTTGAGGGATCATCAAGAATTTCATGGAAACATGGCCAAAGTGCTTGGGCCCCTGACCCCTGTAGGAGACCCGGGATAGGGATCCAGGCTCCTGGCTTCAGCCTGGCCCGGCCCTTGGCTACTGCAGCCATTTGAGAAATGAACTAGTGAATGGATGATCTCTCTTTCGCTCTTGCTCTGCGACTGCTTAAGTAAAATCAATCAGTCAAATAAATGAAAATCTCTTTTCATTCCACTGTCCACCAAGTTTTTGATGGATCTTTAACATTAAAAAAAAAAATGCCCTGGACACCTCACTGCCGTGGTTCTTTTTCCCTTCATCTGTCTCACCTTGCAGCTCCTGCACGAACCAAGAGCTCTTTCTGCTGGTGTTATTCTGTCCAGCGCATGTGGAGGAGGTCTCCTGCCTCCCACTGTTTGAGGCCCCGGCATCCTTGGCCATACCGTGTTCTCCAGGAACTTCCCAGGGAGGGCTGTGGGAGGCAAATGCTGTGGGCCCTTACCTATCTGGAGCATCTTCCTGCTGTCCTCACACCTGACCGATCGTGGGTCGATGTAGAATTCTAGATTGATAGTGATTTTGGCCTCCCCCGGCCTCCTCCCCATCCGTTTCCCAAATCTTGGAAGGTACCTGCTTCCGAGTAAGCATGCGGTGCTATAGGTTCCTGTTGTTCTGTCACATTAGCAATCACGATTTGTAAGATGTTTGCTTAGTTCATTTCCTTAACGCATAAATCTCCATCTAGTTTAACTCTTGGGTGAATTCTGTTTTTCATAGCTACAAAATTCTCCTATAAAAAGGATGCTGCAAAAACAGTTCATGGAAAAGGCACAGTGTGTTTTAATTCTGTTTTTCTGTAAACTTTCTGGAGTCCCTGTGTATATACTAAACATATATGTATTCACAGATGTCCGTGTGTGTGTATGTACACACGTCCGACTTTTCCACTTCTAAAGTTCTACAGATAATCATTTAATGTGTGTATAGGTGTGAATGTGTGTGTATAGGGATGCTGTGGTTGGGTGTGTGCATGTTTGTGGTGGAAGAATTCCCGAGTCACCCGAAACAGGAGGGAGCATCCTGAACGAACAGCCGCAGGGACCATGCCCCCAGGGACCACGTGTGGTGTCTCCAGACCTTACCGCCTTCCTGGTAGAACCTTTCCAAGAAGCGTCTTTTACTTTGTCGGAGAACTGGACCTCATCCCTGTGTGTCCCTGTCATGTCTGTGTAAATGTGGTTCCGCTGCTTCTGACTCCGTGTGTTGCAACCCCCCCTCCAGGGCGCAGGAAGTGAAAGAACACAGCTTCTTCAGAGGCGTGGACTGGCAGCACGTGTACTTGCAAAAGGTACCCCCGCCCCGCACCCCCGCCACACCCCGCTCTGGGGACCTCCGTCTCCACCTGCATCCCTCCAAACACCCCTGGATCCTCAGCTGCTCCCCACATGTCGCCATGGCGCTTGCTCCCTGGGGGCACCTCTGCACTCCAATCTGACCCCACAGCTGCTGATGGAGAATATTCAGGAAACAGGAGTGTCTGCACTGAACACATACAGATTGGACGGGGGGCGGGGGGGAGTGGAGGATCGTTCTTTCCTAGACAGTGCAGAGTAGCAGCTACTTCTGTAACATTTGCGGTGTATTTAGGCATTGGAAGTGATCTAGAGGGAGTGGGTCGCTTACATGCCACTAGGCCATCTGTGCCAAGGAACTAGTTATCCCAGTGCGTTAGCTATGGGATTGGGCCAAGTTATTCCAGTGGCTTAGCTAGTTCCCCAAGTGGGTTAGTTATTGGAGTGGGCTAATTACCCAGGTATGTTAGCTATCGAAGTGGGCTAGTTATCCCGAGAATATGTTGTCACAGGTCATGTAGGGGCTCCTTGTCATTCTCTCGCTGCCACCATTTTGCCACCTGCCACATCCCAGGCAGCAAGAGGACCCACGCGAGATGCCAGCAGAGACCTCCCCCTGGTCTCTGGAACTGTGAGAAATAAACTTACTTTCCCCAGAAGTTACCCCAACTGGTATCCTTGGTGGCACTTGCTGCCATGTTCTTGCCTGCATCTAGTGCCAGAAGGACCCCGCCCCATCTGTTGCAGCATCTGCGGCATGAACTGCCAGATAGAATGTATCACTGTTTCTCTCTCTCTAATATAAACAAACAAACAAATAAATAGACAGATGTGGAGGGGAGGCATATAAAATCTTGATACTGTGATATTTAAAAATTATTTAAAGGGTGGATGTTGTGGCACAGAGAGTTAAACTCCCACCTAGGACACCTGCATTACGTATCAGAGTGCCTGGTTCAAGACCCGGCTACTCCGTGCTTCCAATCCAGCTGCCTGCTAATGTGCCTGGGGGGCAGTGGGTGAAGATTGGTGTGCTTGGGCCTCTGCACTCACGTGGGACACCAGGTGGAGTTCCTAGTTCCTGGCTTTTACAGGCATTTGGGGAAGTGTAACACTGAATGGAATGGAAGGAGTTTGTGTGTGTGTGTGTGTGTGTGTGTGTGTGTGTGTGTGTCTTCTCCCTCTTCACCGAAGGCTCCTCAGTGATGCCCCTTGCCTGCTCCTTCCCTGGCCTTGTGGGCTACTCTGGGGCCCTCAGCATCCCCTGCTCACCACATCTCACTTTGGCTCTTCCAGTACCCACCGCCCCTGATCCCTCCCCGGGGAGAAGTCAACGCCGCCGACGCCTTTGACATCGGCTCCTTTGACGAAGAGGACACCAAAGGCATCAAGGTACCCGAGGGCAGGTCGAGCTGCCGTTGGATGTCGGTCGAACTCAGTGGTTGTTTCGTGTGAATCTCAGCACGTAGTTTGAAGAATGTATATGTCTAAGTCAAGGATCTGAAATCGTTGGGAACCAGCAGAGCTCTCCCTAGCCTCATCCTTATGCCCTGGGTGAGCTTCCCCATGGTCCAGGTTGGGTTTTGGCTTGGAACATTTGTGATTGAAGCACAGCTGATGCATCAGTGAAGCAGGAAGCCAAGCAAGCACGTGGCGTGGAGCACACTCTGCCTGCTGCCTAGGAGCCCAGCGTATTGTCGCTTCTGAGTGTTTAGTTCTGCCTGTGTGAGGATACAGAGAGCAAGAAGGATCACTGAGAGCTTGTGAGGCAAAGGTGAAATAAATTACTTCCAAACTTCATCATCATTTTCCTGAGTAGAGACAAGACTTCATTACCAATGGTGTATCAGAGTACCTGGGTTCAAGTTCAATCCCTGGCTCTGTTTTTAATACCATCTTCCTGCTGCTTTGCACTGTGGAAGGTAGCGAGTGATGGATCAAGTGGTTGGGTCCCAGATTCTTCACTGCAAACCTGGATTGAGTTCAGAGCTCTTGGCTTCAGTCCGGTCCAGCCCTACTATTGTAGGACATTTGGGGAATGAAGCAGTGGATGGGAGATAGCTCTCATTCTTTCTGCTTTTCAAATAAGGAAGAAGTTAAAATCACATAGAAAACACACACACTCGCCCCTACACACCCCTATCAGGTGTGGTTATTAGAGTGACAATAAAATGCCAGGGGAGGCCTGGCAGGAGCTGTATCTAGAGCCATACAGAGCCTGCACCGAAGTGGCCTCAGGACAACGTGGTTGGTAATCAACTGTAGGGCACCGACAGGATTGCTGGCGAGGGGAGCAGCATTCAAGAACGGTGCACAGAGGCCAAGTGCATCGGGCAGCTGGGAAACAAGTGGTACTGGGCCAGTGCTGCTGGTCTGGAGAGGAGAGGTTGAGTCTTAGACCATTAGGGTATTCACATCGGACCCATACTCCTCAGGTGGCAAAGGCCCAGGACCAAGGCCACCCCCAGAGAGCTGTTCCCAAGGTCTGGAGCAGCAGCTCTCACAGGACACAGCCTAACATGTCGCTTCCACTGCAGCCCCTCTTCGGATAGTCCAAACCGTCCACGCATGTCAGGCATTGTTCTTACACATGTGATCCTATTGTTTAAACTTGGACGAGTTGGAAAGTTCATGCCCCAAATAGAACAGCCATGCTGGCTTTTCGCTTTTGTAATCAGTTCTAAAACCTTGGGGATCCCTTCTGTGCTTCATAAAATGTCCTCACCGTGACTGACGATTTACATGGTTGTCAGAGTCTGTTAGTCCTTTAAGGAAAACCCTCGTCTGTGTGAGCTTTTATTGGCACAGTGTAATGAGGCCACTGTAGGAGATGAGACGGCGAGAGGTGGGGGAGCTGTGACGTGGGCCTGCGTGACTCACGACCATGACAGCCTGTCAGTCAGTGATGGTGTGTGGTCATCTAAGGGTGCCAAGTCCCCCGGCTGCGCTGCCGTTTGAGTCTGTTTGTTTTGCTCAACCCCAAATATCTTTGCTTTCTCAAAACAATAAGCTGCTTGATTGTGACCAAGAACTCTACAAGAACTTCCCCCTGGTCATCTCTGAACGCTGGCAGCAGGAAGTGGCGGAAACAGTGTACGAAGCGGTGAACGCGGACACGGATAAGCTCGAGGCCAGGAAGAGAGCCAAAAACAAACAGCTGGGCCACGAAGAAGGTAAAACAGTTCCTGTGTCCCGATCCCTTCCCGATGCAGTGCGTTTTCAGGATCCCCAGGATAGCTGAAAAAATATATTTGGATCCCGGAGAATCTTCTAGAAGAATAAAGCGACGGCACCTGTTGTTTGAGTTTAGGGCTTAGGGCAGTGTGCCCCGTCGCCACGCCACACACGTGAAAATGTGCAGAGATGGCATTGTTCCATCAGAGGTGGCACTGTCTGCTTACCTGGCAGTGTTTGAGGGTGGCTTGGAAGCCTTCTCCTTGAGGAGTGATTCCCGCTGGGCTAGGAATAGAGCCGGCCAAGTGCGTGAGCTCTGCGTGCACACGGGCGCTGGGCTAGTGTAAGGCCGTTGCTACCATCTTGAGAGTCTGAAGAATTTTCTAACAAGGATTTTTGTGGTGTGCTGGACCCTATGGAGTATGCAGTAAGTTGTATTGAGGACCTTCCAGACCGAAGCCAGGAGTTAGAAACTCCATCCAGGTCTCCCAGGTGGGTGACAGGTCCAAGACACTTGGGCCGTGTTCTATAGCTTCTCCAAAGCATTAGCAGATCAGAAGTGGAGCAGCTGAGACCCCGACTGGTACTTGTAAGGGATGCCAACATTGCAGGTGGCAGCTTAACCTTACAGGGCTGTCCGTACCCATCCAAAGCTCTAGTTCTCTTTAAATTAATCAAGGGCTTTGTTAGGGTTTCCAAAGCAGGAGCCATAATGTCAGATGTTAAATACACCAGCAGTCCTAGCTTCACTAAATGTTTTCTGCTGTTTTATCTGAACATTGCTTGAGCCTTGGATAAACTAACTGCAGTTGATGATGTTCATTTCATTATGAGAGAGAGGGGGAGAGAGAGAGGGAAAGAGAGAGAGAGAATGCAGCCACTGGTTCACTGCCCAACTGGCCACAACGGCCTGGGCTAAGGCCGGGTCAAAGCCAGGAGCTTCATCTGGGTCTCCCATGTGGATGCAGGGTCCCAAGCCCTTGGGTCATCTTCTGCTGCTCTCCCAGGTGCATTAGTAAGGAGCAGGATCGGAAATGAGGTTCTCTTTTTTAGTAATAATCATCTTGTAAATATATGCTTGACATATGTTAGCATATGGTAATATATAATAAGTACTGTTTCAGGTACATATATAATATGTATATTATACACACACACACACACAGATGCTCACGACAGCCAGGGCTGAGCCAGGTTGAAGCCAAGAAACTAGAATGTCAGTTTGGTCTCCCCTGTGGGTGGCTGGGCCTCAGGACTTCAGGCCATCATCTGCCACCTTCCCTGGCACATCAGCATCCAAAAGCTGAGTCGGAAGCAGAGCAGGTGGGACTCGAAGTGGTCCTCTGAAGTGTCTGCACCAAAACACCTGTCATGATAGATCCCAGCTGGGATGTCCTATCAGTGGTCGTTTGCTCAGAGGAGGACACAGACAAAGCGGACCCAGAAAAACACACATGCATTTATGACCTTGTGTCTTTTGGTTGGAGCTATCTTTGGCTAGCATGTCTTACGAGTAAATGCATTTCTCTTCATATATTGGTAAATAATTTGTGCTTAGCTAGATCCTGGTTGCTGATTTGAAAGGTCTCCTTTGCAGAAAAATCTGGTGTAAACTTAGATCCTTGAGAAACGTCAGTTATAAAATTTGTGCTGAACATTGACTTTGGAAACACATGCGTCTGTTTTGTGAAAATGCTGACTCCACAAAGCCCACTTGTCATCACTAACCTTTCCCCGGCCCCCTCCCTGGTCCTTCTTCCTCCTGCTTGTCTCACGTGGCACAGTGTGGACTGTGCGAGCAGGTTTCCTGACATTGTTGTGAGGTTATGATCTTCTGAGGGTGGAGGCTTTTGTCACCATCATTTGATGCTAAATCCGAGAGGCTTAGAACCCGTCCCATGCCTGAGCCCTCATGGAATAGTCGTTGACGGAATGAATGAGTGAGTGAGTGGTATGATTCTAGCAAAATTGCCAAGACTTTTGGTGAAGCCTGTAACACGAGCCCTCCCTGGAGTGGGCATTCGTTATTTGGGACACCACCGCCTCATATCAGAGGGCCTGGTGTGGGTCCTGGCGCTGCTCCACATCCCAGCGTCCTGCTTCTTGCTACTGCACAGTCTGCGAGGCAGCAGGTGATGGCTTAGGTCCTGGAGTCCCTGTCACCCGAGTGTGGGACCCAGATTGGATTTTGAACTGTTTTACGCCCTGTCAGTTGTCAGCAACATGGGACTGAACCAGGAGGTGGAAGACCGCTGTCTTGCTCTGTGTCTCTTCTTCTTTTTCTGTAACTCTGGTTTTCAAATAATAATTTTTTAAAAAGGATTTATTTTTTTTTAATTGGAAAGATTTACAGAGAGGAGGAGAGACAGAGAGAAAGACCTTCTGTCTATCGATTCAATCCCCAAGCAGCCTCAACATCTGGAGCTGTGCTGATCAAAGCCAGGAGCCAGGAGCCTCTTTTGGATTTTCATGCAGGTGCAGGGTCCCAAGGCTTTGGGCCGTCCTCGACTGCTTTCCCAGGCCACAGGCAGGGAGCTGGATGGGAAGTGGAACCGCTGGGATTAGAATTGGTGCCCAAGTGTGATCCCAGCACGTGCAAAGCGAGGACTTTAGCTGCTAGGCTACCACGCCAGGCCCTTCAAATAATAATTTTAAAAAATTAAAAATAAAAATAATAATAATAAAGAAAGGCAGGATCCCAGCTCCGTGTTAGGCAGAAGTGCTTGAGGACTGGCTTGGATTCACAGATCACCAATACTCATTACCTATACAAAAAGCCAGGAGTGCAGGGGCAGGGTCTTGCCCTGTGATAGTTAGGAAGGAGCAGCCTGGGTTCATGAGAACATCGGGAGATCTTGCTTCTTTAGTACGTGAGGCAAGAACGAATGGGACCGGCCTCACCTCCCCCAGCCTTTAGACTCGCCGTTCACGTGGTGCCGAGGCCGAGCGAGCACATTCTGTCCCGTGTCTGAGAGTGAGGTAGTCAGGACACTGAGTTTCCCGGGCTTGCTCACCCGTCTCTTTCTGGCTTGTTCATCATCCCTTTCTGGCCCGCAGACTATGCACTGGGGCGAGACTGCATCATGCATGGGTACATGCTGAAGCTGGGGAACCCGTTCCTGACTCAGTGGCAGCGGCGCTATTTTTACCTCTTCCCGAATCGGCTCGAGTGGAGAGGGGAGGGCGAGTCACGGGTGAGTCACGGCCCCTCTTCCGTGGGTTCTCTGTCATGTGGTCTGTCCACGTTTGCCAACCTGCTTCTTCAAATGTCCTCCGGCACCTGCGTGCATGTTTTCACTTGGGACACCCGAGAACAACCCTGCTCACACCTGGACTTGTAAACTTGCAAGTGCAGGCCACAACTGGGAGGAACTCGGTAGCCCCGAAGAACACAGCCTGCCTTCCAGGGGGGTCGGGCTGGCGTGGCCTGAAGAGGCCAGGGGAACAGTTGGTAGGTCACAGGGGAGAAACTCTGGGCTCTGGGGTCACACACAGATCCACCGCCCAGTATCTCCAGGATTTGGGGCATATGGTACTAACTCCGAGCCTCAGTATGCTCATCTGAGAAATGGGATACATAGAAGTGATAACGACCACTGTGACTGCTGCATGTTTATCTGAGGCCAGATTTGTATTTGTGTGTGTGTGTTTGTTTTTTTGTGTGCGTTAAACAGCAACCTCAATCTGCTTTGTCATCTTTAGGGGATCATTTTATAAAGCGAAAACCAGGGGCCCTAGAAGGTGGGAATCTGGCCCCCAGTGACACAGTCGGTCAGATGAGGGGCGAAGTGTCATAGGCGGGACAGAGGGCCTCTGTGTCACAGAGGTTGTTCTCGTCTGGCAGTTCCCCTATGATCAGAGCATGGAAATTAGCAGGCTCTGGCATCAGGCATTTGATTGGATTGGATTTTCTGTGATGTCTGCTGTTTCTCTCGAAGGGCTACAATTGCACATTAACCACACCAACTGCATTGTCCCTTCAAAGTAGTTTTTTTTAAAAACTGATGCACAGCTGGGACTTGTGCTCCCATTGGTAAGGCCTCTTTGGGGCCCTGAAGGATCATTGCTGGTGCTGGCTCCCCAAGTTCAGGCTGTTTCCGGACAGTGTGTGAACCCCAGGCGTGTTTCCCGTTTATGGTCCTATCTAGTGGCGAGCCACTGTCATGCGTGCTGAAGAGAAACTGTTTCACCTTTCAGAAGGTTTGAACACTTTAAAAACAGGTGCAAACAGAATTTCTGGTTAACAGCAGGTGCCATGCCATGAATGACCGTGGTTTTCAGCATGTTTATGCTTAGCATACTCTGTGAGAAGTTGCATAGTATGTGTGAGCAGGCCCATAAGGAAGGAAGGAATGGTGGTGTTTTCCGTTTAGGATTCCTAGGGTAAACAAACACACAACAAAAATCAAGCAGCCACTAAATGGTAAGGAGTTCATGACACACAGTGTTCGCCCGAAGCAGCCACGCTGTAGCCTCCATGTGACACTCTTGTAAGATGTCAGCTGGATATATGCCGCCATGTTGGCATTATCAGAACGCCACCGGCTTCCAGGCTAACTTGGCCAGGCATGTCCTGGGTTGCTGCCTTAGACTCAAGGCATGCCTTCATTCCCGGCAGCCAGCAGGTCTGTCCTTGTTCTTCCAAGACTAGATGGATGGACTAGAATATGAGTGTTTGCGACAAAAAGTTGGGAGTCCTGACCACTCCCTGGAGGAGTCTGTACCGAGGAAGCAGTGTGGCCTGTTGGCCTCACACGGAGACATCTCTGTCTTCACGGTTTCCTTGGAGATAACTGGAGTTTGGGTTTCTGCCCCACCTTCCTTTGCAGCCGTTTCTCCTCGCTTCTAGAATTAACTTCTACCAGAGGGACCGGCCAGTTCACCTGAGCATGCTCTAAGCTGATAGTCTTTGGTGTTGTCACTTTTTTAACTTAAGAAATCACGAGAGGATGGCAAGTAATTTTTTTGTGTGTATTTTTTCCCTTTGTTATTATTTTTTATGGTTAGCAAAGTTTGCTGACAATGGAACAGATTTTGTCCGTGGAAGAAACGCAGATTAAAGATAAAAAATGCATCTTGTTCCGGATAAAAGGAGGGAAACAATTTGTCTTGCAATGTGAGGTGAGTGTGCAACGATTTTCTCCTTAGGTGGAAGAACCGCTCTAGGAGTATACACACTGAGCAGGGGCAGCTGCCTGGTTATAGGACATTTCCTTCTTTCTGTGTATGTGTGTGTGGGGTGTGTGTGTGTGTGTGCGTGTGTCTGCGTTTTCTAAATGGGAGTTTTGAAAGCCAAAGAAGCAGTAGCGACCAAAACACCTCCTGAAAATAGCTTTGTTCCTCTGTTACCCACATGCGGAGTCCGTTCATTTGCTCAGACGCCTCCAGCTGTGGGAGAAAGCCAAGGTCATTCCCTGAGTGAGTGGGGAGACAGCAGCAACTGTGAGGTTTAACCTCGCCCTGCGTGGCAGGCGAAACGGGGGTGCTCACTCTTCCCCCCCCCACCCCGTCACAGCCTCAGCGAGATCCTCGAGACAGTCTCAGCAGCTGGGGTCAGGGGCAGCGTGGGGAGGACCTGTCACAGCTTCTCCTTTCGTTTTCCCATCCAGAGTGACCCAGAGTTTGTGCAATGGAAGAAGGAATTGACTGAGACCTTCACAGAGGCCCAGCGGCTCCTGCGCCGCGCCCCCAAGTTCCTTAACAAACCCCGCTCTGGTGTCGTCGAGCTGTCCAAGCCACCCCTGTGTCACAGAAACAGCAATGGCCTCTGACGCCCAGGAGCAGCGGGGTCCTCGAGGAGTCCGCCCGGGGGTCTCGGGCCCTCGGCACAGAGCCTATGGGAGAAATCAAGGATCCGAGTTCAGCACAGCAACCGAGCGAGCGAGCGCAGGGGGGTCTCGCTCCCTCTCTGTCTCTCTCTCTCTCTTTGGCTGGCAAAGGTCCCAGGCACCATGATGCTCCCAATAGGAGTTAGGACCACTACCCAGTTGGGGTCACCCTCTCCCCACCTGCTGGATACCATCTGTCCGTGCTCAGAACTGCTGATGGAATGAAAGTTCTACTTCTTGGCTGCGCACTGTGGTCTCTACAAGGCCTAGAACTTGAAGTGACTCCTGCTTCTTACTTAAACATGTTTAGGTTTGATATCAAATGTATCGCAGAGACTTTGCAGGATGGAGTTGAGGCACCTTTAGTGTTGGGTCGCAGGCCGCCTGAAGCATCGCCGTCATCCTCTGGGTGGACAGCAGAGTTCATGGATCTTGTGTATTCCAGCTCCCGGCTCTAGGACGGTGGGTGCACAGCAGCGTACTGCCTCGCATGCCCCGCTCAGAGCTTAACATTTTCTTGTCCAGGCTCCAAAGCTGACGAGGTGGCACTCAGGGCCCTCACATGGCCTACCCAGCCTCCCAGCCTCTATCTCAGGGGGCTCCCTGTCCCCCCCGCCCCGGCAGTGATGGGATCACATTCTCCAAGCACATGGCATCTGCTGTGAGGAACCCTGGGCCCTCATCCGTCAGTGACTGGAAAGATTTGCCGCAACTCCTACGGAGCAACAGGAGAATCTGGGATTTCAGGGTCCAACAGCGAGTTTTGAGACCCTTCCAGCCCAACGTGCCTGAACAAACAGCGCTTCCCTGTGTCCAGCTGCTCATGGCCGCATGTCTCGTATCACAAGTGTGGTTGTGTGACACAGGCATGCGGCCCTGGCTCCTGCTGTTCAGCCATAAGGGATGTGCAAGAGAAGACACAAAATCGCTCGGTTTTACCCGTTTGCATAATTTATGAATGCTGGAGAGCGGATGAGTGGATGTGTCGGCTGTAGGCTGGGTCTCTGCCTCGCCACCACTGTCAGCCTCTCCTGCCATGGAGGGAGGCTTTCCCACGCACTGCGTGGTTCTACTGTAGTGACGACATCACAGGGCTCAGACTGCTTGACCCATCCCAGCTGTGCCCACCCCCATGCCCTGATGCCGCCAAATAGATGCTGAATTGTTAAAAAAAAAAAAAAAAACAACCAAAACGGCCAACTCCCCCATGTTGACAGACTGAAAAAATAATAACAATTTCAAAAGACCACATGTTTGTCCTGTTCTTGGCCTAGCTTTAGCATATGGCTCCCCACACAGTACCAACAATGCAAATTAGCCAGACTTTGGGATTGTTTGCCGTGGTTTGCTGGTTCTGTGGTCTTTGTTCTCTGCATGCGTTGAGGGGAGTTGAATACTCATTAACAAAGAATTGTGTCTTGAGTGTTTGGAAGATAATTCACCAAAAGGATCTGCCGTTTCATAAAGGAATCATTGTCGGGGGAAAATGTCTGGGGTTCACGATCCTTGCCAACTCTCAGTTTGAGTGAAACCCACACATTCTACAGCCTCACCACCTCCAGCGTGGGAGGCGTGTGCGCAATTCACCTGCGTTCTTGCCTGATTCAGAAAGGAAGCATGGGGTGTAGGTTTCATTCTTGAGAGAGGGAGAGATAGAAAAAAAGTCACCCAGCGATGGAGAGGCAGCATTGTACCTAAGGAAACAAGTGCCCTCTCAGCCATGGGTGGTGGCAGTCCCAAGTGGTGTGGTTCCCGTCTTGGCGGCAGGTTCACGGTGCACTCAGCACTGCTCGGCTGCTCCAACCTGGCCCGGGCATGGACAGGAGCCGGGCTCAGCATCTCACATCTGATGACTCTGGCTACGCCCACGTGTTCGGAAGGATTGCTGCGTTCCCTCCATCCTGGCCATCAAGTTGTGCCGATCCACAAGCTTTTTCACAAGTATTATCTCTCTGTCCATCCAATAAAATGAAAACAAATCTTTTTTTTTTTTTAATGTGAAAGAGGTGGGCATTGGACACAGCCATTAAGACATGCCTTGTTTGGGATACCCCCTTCCTGTTTTAAAGTACTTGGATTTGAACCCGACTCTGCTTCTGATCCTACGTGCTGCAAATGCGCACCCAGGAAGACGGCAGGGATGGCTTGGCTAGTGGGGTTTCTGCCTTGCGCAGGGGAGACTCAGGTTGAGTCCCCAGCTTCCCACATCAGCCTGGCCTGGCCTCCACTGCTGTGGACGTTTGGGCAGTGAACCAGAGGAGAGAAGCTCTGTGTGTTCTCTGCCTTTCAAATAAACTTAAAATTAAAAAAAAAAAATTTTTTTGTTTTTTGCTCAAGAGTAGAACTTAAGACTATCCTCTTTTACAAATATATATATATATGACAAATATCCCAAAGAACCTTTTCTTTTTTTTTAATATTTATGTATTTTTATTGGAAAGGCAGAATTACATAGAGAAAAAAAGACAGAGAACTCTTCCATCCAATGGTCTTCTTCCTCCAGTGGTCGCAATGGTTGGAGCTGAACCAATCTGAAGCCAGGAGTCAGGAACTTCTTCTGGGTCTCTCACATGGGTGCAGGGTCCCAAGAAGATGGACCATCCTGTTATGCTTTCCCAGGACCATAAGTAGAGAGCTTAGTGGACTTAAACTGGCACCCATATGGGCTGTGGGAGCCGGAGGGCAGAGGGTGAGCGCATCGCACCGCTGCAACCTCCCCCCCTTCCTCCCCCGAGGAACCTTTTGCCTCAGACTTACGAGGGTGCTTGTAAAAGTTCATGGATAAAAAGGGACTTAAAAGATTTATTTTGTTTAAGAGAAAAAAGTATTTAAATCCTTGCACTGATTTTCCACGATACCTGTTTTTCATGAACTTTCTGAAGACCTACGGCACGCTCCGAGGAAGTTTTTACGCTTTGCAATTTTGATGATTTACATGAGTCCATGCAGCTCTTGGGGGGCCCAAGTGCCCGGTGAAACTTAGGAGGTCACTGGTTGCACTGGGGTCTGGTTAGATGCCCTGGAGAAGGCAGAATTCTGTAGGACATGGGCCCAGGAGCCTCCTTGTGCCTGGGTGCATCCTGCAGGGTCTGCACCTGTGCCCACCTGGCCAGAGGAAGAGCCATTTGGGCTGCAGTTGATGGCGCACCTGACCTGTTTCAGGTTTTCCGATTCCCTGCTTGCATGTGGACCGTTAAAGAGGACCAAGTCCCACCTAGCATCCCTTACGTAAATTCCTCTGAGTGGGATGTTATGCCATTGTTAAGGAAAATAATCTAGGTGGAGGTTATTTTTATAAAAGTATATTCTAGTAAGTCTTGATTTCTAATTCAATCAAGAAAAAAAGCCTACAAATAATAGATACCTTTAGCTGCTTTGTAACTTATAGGAGATAAAAGCTTCTTGAGTCAGAGATTGTTATTTTTAACTCCCGTAAAACATTTTCTTTGGTGCATGTCGTTGAAATCTGTCATTTTTCCTTCTGTTTCATGTGTAAGTGTGATTTGTCAGCAATGCTTCAAGAAAGCAGCTTATTGTTTCACCAGGGATCAAAAGTACTGTGATTGGTCCAACCCCATTCACATTCTCTATAAAAGGACAGGGCTAGGGGTGGGCATGCGTGGACAGCAGCTGGGCTGCCACTTGGGGTGCCCACATGCCATATCCAAGTGTCAGTTCTGGCTTCACTTCTAATCTGGTGTCCTGTGACTGTGCATGTGGCAGCCCAGGGTGCTGGGTTGCCATCCTCCCATGGCCCCAGTACCGCAAACCTGGATTGAATGCCAGGCACCTGACTTGAGCCTGGCCTGGCTCTGGCTGTTGTAGACATTTGCAGGGTTCTAAAGCTGCAGATGAAAGATGGCTCTCCCTCGTCTCTCCCTGCCACTTTTTCTTCTTTCCTTCTCTTCCTCTGTCTCTTCTTTCCAAGTCAACAACAATAAAAGAAAGAATTTTTAAAAGACTAGAAAGAAGGGGTCCAACGTTTAACAAGGTACACCAAGGAAAGAAAGCTGTCAGCTTGGCAGAGCCGTCCATGTACTCCGTCGATCAACAGGATTTTGCTGTATTTGTGTTTCTGACATATGCCACGTGGACACTTGAAACAACTCATCCATGGCCAGTGGCCAGTGGAAAACCTTGCTTACCAGTGACAACAGGATTTAACTAGATGAAGAAAACAGTGTGCGGGGCTATTTTTTCCCCAGATTATTATTATTATTATTTTTACCATTTTGCTCAAGAGTTAGTCTTTGGGCCAATTCAATACATTTGGTATCCTTGATTTCTTCTTCCCCACTCCCTGCCCCATGTTTCAAAACTATGACACGTCGAGGAGAAAAGAAACCTCTCAAAGATTCATCTCTTTGACAAGGTGTAATTCTGCAGTAAAACGTTAGAGTCACTGGTGTAAGATAAAACTTGCTTGGTATGATTTTATCCTCCATTTCTTCCCCCTCAGTTGGATTCTGGAAACTGTTTCTGTGTCATTCAAAGGTGCCTGATGAATTCAGTCCTGCCCATCCTGGCTTGAAGGATTAACCAGCCTGTGTAAGGGGTGAGGTGGGCAGAATGGGTGTGGCAAAGAAGAGCAGTTAGGGATGGGGCAAAGGAACAAAGGAATTAATTTGCTGGTAAAATATTTCCTTTAGGGCCCATAGCACCCAAGGAGGGAGATGGGTTGAAGTTCATGGATTTTTCCCTTGCTATCAGAGGTGGCTTTCCCTCTGCATGGGTTAAACATCCATGATCTTCAAAACCTAAAATGCTCTTAAAGTAGAAACTCAGAGAGCTAGCACCCACACAGTGATGCCACAAGTGCAAGAGTTCACCCCTGAGCTGTGCAAAGCCATGGAGAAAACCCGGACACAGTAACACTGCTGACTTAATGCACCATCCATGCGTGTAACACACGTAGGAAACCTCCGTGAATTCATCCTGTATCCTGAAAAGTGAAACGTTTCTGGACCTGTGTGTTTGTTGGGGTCAGGCAGCCAGCCACCTCAGGGTTGATGACCTACTTGTTGCACTATCTAGCTACCGAGCTCAGGCATACCCCATGGTGTTCACGCCATGGGTGTGTTCTCAACACACTGCAGGGAAAGCAAGGCAGAGGCTGTTGTCTAGGCACCTCCTTGCCCTGGTGTGTGTGCCCTGCAGACCTAGGAGGTGGGAGAGCAGCATGGGGGTCCTTAAAGGCATTTCCCCTTTGCTCAGCAGTAGACACAGTTGCGATTCCGTTGTAGCTGAAGGAAAGCTGCCAGCATTACAGGCTCCACATCATGACTAGGGCCCTTGCTGCTGCTTCCGTGGGCTCTAGGGGTTTCCGACGCTCCCAAAATTTGCTTCCCTAAAGATCTAGTAGGAATTTTCCTTCCCACGGAAGGTTTGCTTAGTCCACATTAATCACTCCACATTATGAATATTTGTACCCATGTCACAGGAAAAAAAAAAACTTGTTAGAATGACAGTGATGCAAACCTGAACACTAATATTACACCTGACGGTCTCCTTGAGTCATTGTAAATGTCAAGGTTTTCTGGGTCCTCAGAGACTGAGAGGGCCATTCAAGACCTTCCCAAGTGGCATGTTCTTGACCTGGCCGTGTTGATGTAGGCTGACAGCTGCCGAATCCCATCTTTTAAATAAAATTTACTTGCAAAAAAAATATATATATATATATATCTAGAAAGTGGGTTAGGCATGTATGCATTTTATCAAAATTCCTATAGGAAGTTTTAGAGTTAAATCACTCAAATTCATAGTGCTGGCACCCTTCAGTATCTAAGATTCTCAAAGTCTTTTCTGAAAGCACTTACAAGCTGTGTCCTAAATATCACATGTGTTGGATGTAAGGGTAGAGAATGGGGGAGTTTCTTACTGTATGTTCCTGTTACAAAGGACTTAAAATCCAATTTGTTCCTTAGTCAATTGATTATATTGCTTGATGTGTGAATCGTGCGGTTTATAAGCTAAACACTGGCCTTTTAAAAATTTCCTTTGTTAAATTGTACTTTTCTTCTATGTTTTATGAATGATAACAGATTTAGCTTTTTCTGGATAACTTAAGGATGGCTGAACTACTTCTAAATGTGAAACGAGAGTTCTCTATTTTAGCACAAAAAGCTTTTCTATTATTTATTGGTTTCCTGTTTGGTCTCATGAATACCTCTCCCATGGTTCCTGCTCCTGTTTCATTTGTACAGTGTGTTATTTAAGTCTCTTCTGTTGTTCATCCAATAAAATGGAGATAATGCGGGCAGCCACGTGGGGCAGACCTCTGCTCCCTGCCACGCACCATTCTCCGGCCACAATGTTGTAACTTTGGTCT